CATTTCTTATTATTTTCCAGAATCAACAACCCTGAATCAAGAACACAAAGACCCAAGAACAAGTTCCTGGTGTGTTCAACGGTAAATGTGAGTTAACCACATATAACCCCAAATTTACTAACTCATGATACAGTAAGGACAGCCATCCTCCACCTCCAGTGATGCTATTTAAATATTGTTTGCTAAACTGTACATGTTTCATTCTCTGCTCTTTAACCTAGCAAGCACGAGTGAATTAACTCAAACTAACACACGGGATGTGAACAATTAGATCTACAGTTCCGTTAATGCAATTTCTCATGCTTTTGGTGAATTGCCACTTGTTAAGATGTATGGGTTTTCAGTAAAAGGAAGTCAACTGAAATGTGGCATTGCAGAACTCCCCCCAATTCCTCACATAAGCCTTACAGTTTGATTGACAGCACATTGTTAAAAAAAACTAATTAAGCTGCCAAATACCAACCAGACAAACACCGTCCATATTGTCTAGTGCTATCCTGTATACAGGACATAAAGAAGAGAGGTACGTGTTCTCTACAAGGTTGTATGTAATGATATGAGACCAAGTGGGAGCAATCTGGAAAAAAAAATCAAACCTTACATGCATGTCTTTGGATGGCGGGAAGGAAACCTGAAAAAATCTACAAAGATTTATCTATCCTACATAGATAATCATAGAAAGGACATGCAGAGCTCACACAGACACAAAGATGTCATTAATATAATGAATATTATTAAAGATAACTAGAACTACCCAGCAAAGAAGTGTAACATTCTCAAATTTTACTAGACGTTTGTGGTTAAGTAATTGGATACTACTACTAAAATATTACTAGAAGGATGCAGTTTGGTTATGTTGAGACAAAGTTGTAGGTACATCACAAAAAGCATAAAGACGACGGAATGTTGCAAAACACCAAAGTGACAAGTGAACACTGCAGCTGCATTTATACTTATCCTTTTTATTTTGGGGAAAATTTTGTCAATAAATGTTTCAACAGCATCCTTGGATGTCTAAAATCTGCACAGCCACGTTGTTTCTGTACAACGTTGAATTTTATGAAGAAGTTGTCATAACCTAATTTAGCAGGCTTAGCTAGCAGGGTACTAATTAAGTTACTCTAAACATCTCTCAACAGGGTCTATACAGCTACAATCTACTATGCTTGTGGAAGAACAGACTTTGCAGAGCTTTCTTCTGGAATGTCCAAGTTCCGTCTGTGCTTCTCCTCATTCTTATCAAGAGCATTACAAAGTCCATGTAAAGATTCTCTTTAAATAATTATCCAAGCAGAAGAAAGATTGTTTTATTCTTCTGAAACCCATTCACAAATCAATGTGCTTTTCAATGTTAGACAAAGGACTACGAAAAAATCAGTACATTCTTAACAATGTACTAATGTGCTAACATCAGTATAACAAGTAATTAACAGCTTAGTTGTAATAAAAACAAGACTCTTTAGAATTAAATACAGAAGCTGCAAGGTAAAGTAAAAGAAGCTCATTAAGAATCAATGTTTTACTATACCAATGTTAAACCATGTGTTACATTTCCCCTCCTTACAGTTTAGCAGATATTAGAATAATACTGAAGAAAGAAGAATTATCTGTTCTGGGGGAAAAAACAGTAATCTAGAAAGGGGAAAAATGCTATGAAAGGTAGTCCCATTTTTTCCTGGTATATTTTTTTTTCCTTAAAAAAAACTGATAAATACACAGCACATCTTGAAGAAGTTATTTCTGATGTGAGCTTCCGTGTTGCAGAACAATTATAGAACTGACTGAATCAGTATTTTTTGTCATTTTATTTCAATTGTATATAGGTTTAATAGAAATCATTTGTCAGCTGGTGTTCATTAACACAGCAGGCTCATTATGCAAGAGACACTTTGTATTTAAAGCTATTACAGCATCAGAAACATTTTATTTGAAAAAAGTAGGTCAACTATTGCTTTCCACACTATACCCATAAAAGAATCAACTGCAATGTGCCTACCTTTTTCAAAGTGATAGAGCCAAAACTCTTGCAAAAGCCTCAAGGGCATTGCGTGACTATGGAAATGAGAACACAAATGCAACTAAGATACAAATATAATATATATATAAATACAACTCATTTAATACAAAAAGCTTCTCATATTATGTATAACATGACTATAAACAACAATTTGTAATACTCAAACTACTAATACTCAAGTCAGTTTTAGCATCCCTAAAATTTGTCATAAAGATATATAAAAAGTGAGCTAATCTATACTCACGTCCTTTGTTTTTTACATGTATTTTATGTTTTTTTTATTATCACATTCAGTAATTTCACAGCTAAAATTCTTTTTCATACACCACCATTATTATTACATTGAAAGTAAAAAAATTAAGTTTGTGGAAATATTTTTTTTCCTAAAATTTGAATGTTTTGCTCACATGTGTATTGTAAAGAATTAATGAAAAACATACATCAGTTAAAAATAAAGCACAATTTTTTCCACAGGACAGCTATAAATTAAATGACTGGCAATGCCAACAGTTTAGTCGGTATCAGGTCATATTCTAACCTAAAATGAATCACTGAAAAAAAAAACAATTATGAAAGACAAGTTTGTGGAATGGTGGAAAACAAATGCAATTTAGAAAAGCTTGGAAAAAGGCCTTCAGTCATTCCAAAAACTGCACATAAAGCAGGAGATTAAAAAAATATTTTTGCTAAACAGTTGTAATCTTGTGCTGCCAAATAAAAGATTGGAACTCAAAATCGTGAACACATCTGGCTTTGAGCCTCAAAAAAATAAAATCACATTTCACCTTCTGAAGCTCCTGACAGACTAGTAAAACTGTTAAAGGAACACAAAAGTTACTTTTTTTTACAGTTGTTCTCAGCTGAGACTGACGCTTTTTTTTTCAGTGTAGACATGCAAAGAGTAATGAGATTAGTAACTGGGGGATTCGAAAGGAATACTCCTCTCAACTCAAACTACAATATCGGTCTTACAAACAATACAATAACAGACCAGCTGTACAACCTAGGTACAATTATCACCAGATGTGCAAAACATACTTCACCCACATGCACATCTATGATTGACTGAATATAATTGTTATTGCAATTGCTTTTAAAGCACAAGCATGGCTGAACAGATTGCAGCAATCGGAACAGAAGAATGTTAACAATAATTGGGAAAATATTTTATGCATCCTGTTGTTCTCGACTAAAACACTCTACAACTCCCAATTGGAAAATGAAGCTTGCGAGGAATTTTCTTATTTGTTTCAAATTGAGGGGAAAAAAAACGTCTGGTGCCATAAAAAAATCTCAAAAATGGAAATGACACCTATGCCGACCGCCTGTTTCAGTCCCCATAAACAGATCATGTTATACCACTGAGATGAGGGCACTGAGAAAACCAGATTCTGCAGCTTACCCAGGCTGCTGAAATAAAGATGGCCCAACAGGTAAAAGGCAGGGTTTTTGCATTTTGATGCAATGATGATGGAAAGGTATTTAATGGCACATATGCAGAACACTGATACTGGACCTTCCCTTCTGAATCAAAAAACCTACATTTGCTTAATAACCAGGCACCTCTTTCCTCTAATCATCTGCAATACATTCAGCAATCCCAATCTTTCTGTAAGGAGTCAATATTTGTGCCAATTAGCACTCAAGGCAGTGTGAATCAAGCTAAACTTCTTTATGCAAAAAGGTAAAAGGTGAAAAAGAATATTACACTGCACAATAATTATTTTTAACTATAATCCTATTACATTTAACTATCTTACGTCAAGCATTTAATTTTGGCTAACAGTTACATTTATTATCTGAAGGTAAACATTTGGAAGGCCTTAAAGTTTGTTTTCCTTTCATTGCTTTTTGGGCAGCATACAAATTTTAATTATGCTTTGTCCAAATCTGAATGCTTAAGTAGGAATTTGCCATGTAGCCTCTCCTGAAGGACTTCACTTAAGTAAGAATTGATTTATTTGATCTAAGAAATTATTAACTAACCCATGCTTCATGGATTAATTTAGATGAAGGGTTGTTACACGTTACCTGTGTAACACAACAAAGCACATACATTAAATACCGATGAGAGTCAGTACTAATTACATGTTAGTTAAATATGCAAACAAATACTGGTCTAAGCTTACTTGGTAAAATTAGTGGACCACAGAACGTTCTGTGCCTGCTTATCCTTGCAAGCACACATTTATTTTGTGATCCTTTCAAAGCTCAGTTTTTGATGTTCCTCTTTCATTGTCACTCACCTTTAAACTCTAAACACTTTAAAGACACACAGTGTGGTGTATTTTTCAGCAATATTTACAACAAGGTGCATTGGAGACTCGTTTGTCAAGAAATTAATCACAGACCTAATAAACCCCACACACTGCTGCAATGGGAGTGTTACACAGCCAGACGATTGTGCCATAATACAAGGTTTGTTTTTTTCACCAGCAAAGACATTCTGATTTGTGTTACGATGCAAATTTCATTTGAGTTATTGCAACTACAATTAGGTTACATTAACCATGTAATCGTAATTTGTTTAAACAATTGGTCTTAACGCTTTGATGAGAATTTAAATCCTTAAATACTGCTCTTAACATCCCGATGATATTCATGCAGCCCACCTTCTCTTGGCTGAATTGGAACTGTCATTTTGATTTTGTAAAAGACGTGATAAACACTATTTTAACTGCAGTTACTTACCGCAAATATCTGCATACGTGCAAACTGTTTCAACTCGGAAGCTTTAACCCATGTACAGAACATAAAGGAGGAATCATCACTTCTTAACATGTTTTTTCAAGTAACTCAATTACCCATAATCAAAACAAAACAATGTGTGTTTTTGATTTCGTTACATTGTTTTCTGTCTGTTCAAATATATTTATTACTGTGTACAGAACGCTCTATAACACAATCTAAGGTTTGAGAATGAAATTCTTTATCGTTCAAACAGGTCCTCTGCTAAGAGTGGTATGAATGTTGAGACACCTACCTGTCGATTAGCGTCCCAAAAAACTGCCTGATTGTCTTCTGGATGTTGTCAGAACAAAGCCAGCTCCACTCGTCTTTCATAAGCAAGCAAACGATATTGAGGGCTACGTCTGCTAAGGCCATTTCATCAGCTGAAACAATGACACATGGAGGTCCTAGTTACTGATGAGTTCAAGAAAAGGTAAAACTCCAATTCACTGCCTACCTAACAGAGTAGCTGCTCTTTGTTGTCTTCAATATAGTAGATCCTCCAGGCACCACCAAAAGTGAATAATATTTCACATAGGCACCCTACCTTATCAAAATTAGTAAAGGCCAAAACAACAAATTTATTTTTGTTAACAGTTTTATTATTTTAATGTTAATGCTTTTTGTAAAACTACTTGCTTGAACAAGCCTCTGTTAAACACTGCAATGACGTGCCACCAGTTTTTTCATGTAGGAGTAATTTTTATTAATGGGAAAGATCCCGGGCTGGGGTAGAACGGGCCACGAGATCTTCACCCACTGTACGAAACACTTCAAAAACACAATCAAAATTCTGGAGCACTCCCAGCTTTATTCCAAATAAAAGAACACAACAGCACTCAACCTGGAATTCCCCTAACTTGGCTCTAAACTTACCTCTCTGTGCCTTTTCTCCCTCATCTTTTACTCTCCACCTCTCTGGCTTTGTCACATCACACCCCTGTATACAATTCAAACCTGCACGAGACTCCCACATTCCAGGTAATCAACTAGTGATGTCTTCACACAGGTGTACTACGTACAAGTCTTTGAAGCTGTCTCTCAAGCAGCCTCTAGTGGTGACTCCATAATCACTACAACCTTTTCAAGGGGGCCCTGTTATATTATGTAGCCATCTAAATAGAAATCTCCATACTTGGCTTATAATGATAATGATAATGATAGTGATAATGATAATGATAATGATAATGATAACCTATGACTACAATTTCTGTATTGCAGATGTGTTCCTATGACTTATCCAGCTGTCGAAACTATTCACATTCTGGTATGCTATAGGCATCTGGTAAATTTCTTCTTGTGATGCTTAGCTTTCAAAATAACTAAAATACATTTTGAATCTACGTAGGTACTTCTATGAAGACTTCTGTTCACAGAAAAAAAAAACTTTTTTTAATTTTAACACAAAGATAAGATGCAAGGGCACCAGGGCATTAATTGCTTATTTTATTATTCTGAAAGTATTTTTAAAATCCAGCACATTGCAAGCATAACAGAGGAAAAAATCTATAAAATAAGCTTATTTTCGCAGACAAGACAGCTATGGAAAATGAGCCAGTGCTTCTGTAGAGTAGGAATGAAATAGGGCAAACTGTGCTCCTCGGCACAAATATCTGACAGTGGAGAATGAACAATGAAAGTTCTTAATCTGAAGACGATAAATCAGCTCTTATTCAGTTCATAAAGTGTCACATTGTATGAAATGGTCATAATTCAGTTGAACTGCGGTTCAGACTAACGCAAGTGGATCTGGGCCAATAAAAAACAACATTAAGGGTTAGGAATATTCTAAAAGCTAATTGTACATAAAAATTTTAAGTGAACATTGAGGGCACCTCAGGCCATGACAAGAGATCTCACGTACAAACAGCTCTGTGTCCAATAGCCATTATTCTTTGAATTTGTAATCTAATGCTGCCATCTTGTGTTAAAAGAATAATGATGCAGCTCTCTCATGTGGAAGATGGACATTCAGTCCAGAATTTTACAAGCTGAACTAGCTCATCTATCTTTTATATAACCTAAAGGGTACATACAGAAAATACAGACAGGACCCACTATTGATCATCCCCTGAATCCTTGCTGCTTTTCATTGGAGAATTAAACAAAAAAACAACAGATAATAAAACAGTTTGTAATGCAATCATGATACTGATAAAGTGTAAAACGGTGTAAAAAATGTTTCCTTTAAGGTAAGGTTATTCCATGGCAAGCCACTTCTCACACCTTAAGAATAATATATAGAAAATGGCCCTTCATATCTGCGTGTGTAATATGCTCTTCTGTAACTGTGTTCCAGTGGCACTGTTAGTCTGGAACAGGTATGGTGACCACTGGCTCTTTCATTTCATGCCACTACAGGGCTTTGATCATTCCAATAAATTAATAACTGAATTGGGTGGTTAATTAGCCCATATCAGTAACACCAAGCCAAACCCCTGATCTAAAATGCAGCCTTTGTAGTTACAATTCAGCCATGATGTTGGTTTACAAAACCTGTACTGCACTTGAAGTGCCAGAGTGGTATTACTCCATGCTTGATAAACGTTGTACTAACCCTGGCAAAGAAAATGACAGGGAGGTATGACAAAGCCTGAGGTCGCTCCCAACAAGATTTCGCAGTATTGAAGTCTCTAACTTTATCTTCCATAAACGTACAAGCTTCTGGATCAGTATCTTTTCTCTTAAGTCAGGGGTTGTTCAAATACACTACTGCAACCAATAAATAAAAGGGAGACTTCAAAAAGCATCCGTATTATGTAGATTCTAATAGCATTATATCTTCACAAAAACATATAATACTGCATTTTATTACAGCCCTTGTAAGTTGCCTAGAAAAATTCTAGTGACAATAACATAATAATGTGCATAAACACTTAAGATTAGGTGTATCATCGACTCAAATAAAAAAGAAAACATGTAAATACACATTACCCCATTTTAAGTCTGAAACCATGGAAATTGCACAAACCGCATTTCAAAGCTTTAAAGAACAATCCTGAATACTGAAGAATGTTTTGGCTTCACCAAAGGCCTTGAAAAAAATGGCCCTCTAATTGCCTTTGAAATGCAGTTTTTCACAACTTAAAAATGAAGGGAATGCAAGTGAGGAAACTAATTAACTTCAAGCGATGATTCAGGAGTAGGAGTTTCATGTCAAAGCGCAACGTAGGAGGAATCGACTGGTTTAGATCAAATATTCCCTTGTGTGATTCCTGAGAAAGAGGCACTCATTTTTACACTGGGAGGAAAGCCCTGGCTTTTTCTTGGGAGTAAGAATCCAGAGGATTGCTGCCAACCCTTACGTCAGAAATTCCAAGAGTTCAGTTAAGCGTTTCTCCTGGCCTTCGCTGTGGGTTTTTTTTTCTGTGAGGCTAAAACTAATGCCAATGGCATTTATCTTCTCCTAAGCAATTAACTGCATTTTCAAAAAACTGTTACACCGAATCATTCTTTTTGTCCTGATGACAACTATTTCAGAGTTGAATGCCAGCAATGCCTGTCCTGATCTAAAGCAGTACTTTTCATATCGTAAGTCACATGCTTCTATTATATTATCTTTTACTTCAGATGTGTTTTATAGAGGTGAAAAGCAATTAATTTGACAAATCTGCAAAACTGTAAAATGGAATGTGGTTTTCGTTAATTTGGTCTGATGCGCTTTGAGACAGGTTCATGCAAGTTTGCATCATGATCAGCAAATGTTCCATAAACTTGACTTTATTCAAACTGAGTTAAAAAACACAACTGTATGCTAAAAAACAACAGCCATGGAGTAAAAATGTCATGGATAACCAAAGGGCAAGTCTACAAAATAAAACAATAATCTTTTATGATGCAGTTAAAAAAAAAATTAAAATGGCAATAATGACAGAAATAATATTTTAAAAAGAGTATAAACTGGTATAAAAGAAACTGTTATTTGTAGACTGAATATCCTATACATATACTGACCGAAAATGTAAGGGGATATCACAGCTGTGTACTGACTACTGAGAATTAGTGTTGAGAAAGTTCAACACCCAATGTCTGGTTTACAACAGTTCTACATGTACAGGCAAAACAAGTATTCCAAAAATTGTACTTGCTGGGAGTATGGTATCCAGGCATAAAAAAATGAATAAATAAATAATAATTGTAAATAATTTATGGAAAAAATGAAAAATGTTATTTTATATTGTGGGTCGTCTACACGTTGCATTCAGTAGTTCCAGTACACATTAGTTCACCTCCTATACAAATACTAGGTTCATCCCCTAAAAGCTATACTGGGCAGTGCGGTGGCTCTGTGGCTAAGGATCTGCGCCTGTGGCTGGAAGGTTGCCGGTTTGTATCCAGCGACCGTCAGAGGAATCCTACTCTGTTGGGCCCCTGAGCAAGGCCCTTAACCCCAATTGCTCCAGGGGTGCTGTATAAATGGCTGACCCTGCGCTCTGACACCAAGCTTCTTTCCCTGTCTGTGTGTCTTATGGAGAGCAAGTTGGGATATGTGAAAAGACAAATTCCTAATACAAGGAATTGTATATGGCCAATAAAGTGGTCTTATCTTATGTTATCTACTGAAGTGCTCTGTTACTGCAGCAAACATGAACCGAACAAAGATTTTACCAGGTTCACTGGAAGAGAACTTGAGTCTTACCAGAGCTCGGCTTGACTGCGCTGTGCAGATCCTCCTCCCGAGCTTCAGTGCTGCTGTCTTCCTCCTTATCTCTCTCTTCCTTCACATCATCTTCTTGTTCTGAGGGTTGGCTCAGGCCCCTCTCCTGCTCCTGAATGAAGTCTTCAAGGTCAGTCAAGGAGAAGCCATTGAACACCTGGACAGTACAAGACACCAGCTAACATGAGTTCCAACCTAATGAAATGCGGGTGCTCATCATGACGGGTCACGTCCCTTTGTTATGCAGCCGGTTTCCATGTCTGAGCCATGTCGGCCCAACAGGCCAGAGTTTAGTTTTCCTTGACATTCAGTAGAGAAGAGAGCATGTGATCCCCCTCCCCAGGCTGGTTAAAATGCTAGTCCGCTGCAGGGATTCTCCCCCCAGCAAAGCTGGTTCCCATTTATACAGCTGGGTGGACTGGTGAAACTACAGTACCTCACTCACGTCACAACTGCAGTTTCTGCACAGGGGACTTGAGCTCACAACCCACCTGTTATGATTCTAGACTTACCCACTACATTAACCTGCCCCCACTGTCCCTTAATAGTTTTGCCCTAGTGTAGAATTTTCTCTGTCTTTTCTATCTCCAAATAGATCCTCATTCAAATCCTCAAAACATGCTGAAGTGAACATATTTTCACACTTCTCAGACCTATGTTATTGATAACACGGCTGGCATTATAGTTACTTTCTACAAAAAAAGGAGACACTTCTCTGAGTGAAACAAATCTTTAAACCAATCCTGTAAACAGCAAAGGCTGAGATTTCTGAGCAGATTAATTATTATGTTAAAGGAAAACTGAAATCGGTAATGGCAAGTGTTACAGCTGGGATATATTCCTTGATTTTCTTGATTCCTACACAGATTTCTGATTTATTACATGATCCTATACTAAGAGCAATAATTAGGGATATTACAGCAATGTTGAGTTAGATTCTTCTAACAAATGAGCAAATTTATGTTTAAGAAATAAAAATGGAGTCAATTTTACAAAGCCTGCATTTGCTAAGTGTATTTTGCTATTATAAAATGTAAAAAGCTTCTACAGTCCCTATGTCACCAAACTACAGATGCTAGTCAAAGAGTTGTTGGACTATGGAAAACAGTACCCAGCCATATTGAAATTGATACACAGGTTTCTTTCAAGGAATGGCTAAATGGCCCCTTGGAATCAATTAGCTGCTAGCCAACAAACTGAGCTGAAAAATAATTGAGACTTAAGTTCCTGTGAGAAGATGTATGAAATTGTGAATTACTTACTGTGCTCCTATCATCAAAGGAATACAGCACTTTAGGCTGCATATCAGACACACTGAGAACAGGGGCGATTTTACTGGAGAACCTCAGTCGAGACCTAGCATGAGAAACATTGACATAAACACTATACCTTTCCTGCAAATATTAAGAAAAAATAAGATCTGGGGGGAAAGAAAATAGAATTCAACACAAAGTCGGTATCGAAAAAGCCAAAAGACACTACTAGGCTTTAAACAAATGCAATGATGACTTAGCCGACTTTTCTATTAGTTACGGCCAACCATTTTCTAACTGCTTCATCCAATTCAGGGCTGCAAGGGAGCCAACAAAAATATTTTTAAAATATCTCTTTTTTTAATTAAAAAGATATATTATATCGACAAGTAATTTAGAACCTACAACTGAATGTAGTGATATAACAAGTGATATTAGACCTCATACAGCTCAACCTACACTCCAAACAGAGTACATACTGGAACAAGTGAAAGTCTGCATTCTGGCTCTACAAAGACCCTCCTTGCCATTACATTTCTTCTATGCATGCTATAGTGCACAGTTAAAGATTTCTATGTCCCACTGATAGCAAGTAGTCAAATATTATGCCGATTTGTGATCTCTGTGTAGTAAGTGATGGATATGACCATCCAACCTGCAGTCTGACGTACTTGGTTTTCTTACTGTCACTTTGGGCCTTCCCATCGGGCTCACTCTCGCCCATGTCCTCCGTTGGGCTCTGCGGCTCTGAGCGTGGAAAGGCAGTTTTTAGAGTGTCCACAATTGCATTCACCACAATCTGCAGAAAAGGGTAAATGCCTTGAGATCAGCGCTATGAACTGATAACGGGATGCTCAGTGGCATATTAATAACTACTGAGACATTCCTGGATCTGGAATTATGTGCAACTGCTTAGATTTTTTAATATGCTTTAAATTTTCAGTATTACCTTGTCTATCCTCGATACGATGAAAGGCTTTTTCACAAATGCTATTCTTGCATCTGTATTTAGGGCGAGAAACTCCTGCATCTCCTCACTGTTAGCTGCTTCAGGAATTGCACAAAGTTGCTGGAAAACAACATTTTCACTTTAGGCAACTTCACCTTTGCATTCCAACTTTGTGACTTTCTATAAAGAAAGGGCTATGCATTGAGTGCAAGACAGCATTTGCAGATGGCTTAGTAAATACAAACAAATGGTTCACTACACCTTATGAAGCTCAAAACATTCATACAAGAAAAATACAAATTCCTACCTTAAGGAAAGATTCCAGAAGGCTTTTTCTAGCTTCAACTTTGTCACTGTCCATGTTTCCAAAAGGAAGGTCTGGGAAAAGCTTCTTTGGTCCTTTGACATCTAAGCATTCAAGTAAGAAAAAAGGGAAAGACAAACTGAAATTCTCTTACGTTTTAGCTTTTGAGAAGGTGAAAAAAATATTACTCGTATTCTCTGAATTGGCAAGAAAGAAAGGAGATAAAAATTAAAATATGTATTCTCTTGGATATTTCTGAATCACGTGAGGGAAAAATTATATTTTTTTGCAAATGTGATGCCTTGCAATTGAGATCAAAACCACCACAAAGCAATATTTTCCAATAAAGTTATTAAAAGGGCATCTTTATTAAGCCAACATACAAACATTCACATTTTAACCAGTTCATCTAATTCAGGGGTGCGGGCGAGCCAGAGCCTATCCCAGTAAGCAATGGGTGCAAGACAGGATACACCCTGGGCAAGACACCAGTCCATCGCAGGGAATACTGAGACCCAAACACAGCCACACACACACCTCACAGTTGTGTTTTTTCTCAGAGCCAATTTTCCCAGAAGCCAATTAACCTACCAGTGTCTCTTTGGGGAAAATTGGCTCTGGGGAAAAAAGTCCACTTTGGATTGTGGGAGGAAAGCCATGAGAACATAGGTAGAACACACAACCGCCACACAGACAGCACTGCAGGCCCCAGCACTGTTGGCAGTAACCCAACACATTCAATATAATTCAGGCCTGTCCGCCCAAGGGGGACAAGCTGGGTCTTACTTTTGATGAGTTTTCGAAGCTCAGGTTTCTCCTCCAGCCGGGTCTGAAGGTTAAGGAACTCACTGTAGCGCCGGTTCACCATATGATAGGCCACTGGCTGAAGAGAGCCTGGGTTCTCCATGTCAACTGCAGTCTCATACTACAGCACATACACAAACAGCAGAGGTTTTAACACTCGCACTGGAGCAGCCCGCTACAACACAGTCCAAAGATGGAAGTGAATGTCTGTCATAGAAGGTCTGGAGTACTGCTCTGAAGAGCATTTATGACAAGTAAAGATGTAAACGATGTCTCTTTTACTTCTTGAGAAAAAGATAATCAATTATTTAACTGATGCCTAAATTGTTCAATAGTGTATCTACTGCGTCCACTCATTTTGACAGACATTTCTATATACCTATCTCGTAGTCAAAGGAATTAATTAAACAAGGACAGAAGATCTATTTTAGAACAGGGAATATTGTCATTCTCTCTATTAATTAATGAGTCTTGCCTTATGTTGTTTCTGTGCTTCTACAACCTTATTATGTCCAAACCTCCACAAAGTGTGTGAAGGCATCTTAGAACACATCAGTATAAGAAATGCTTTTTTATATTTTAAAGGAAGACTTTTGTAGCTCTGGAAGCTAAACGCAGATTAGTGATTTTTAGAATGTGCAGTGTGCCATTAGTTTTGGAGCACACAGTTATCATTCAATGTTGTAATAGCTTCTGAACAAAATGTTGCCACAGTTAACGTTTAATTTTGCACCAGAATCCCTCTTTGAAAGTGTATAAGAACGCAGTATAGTTTGCCAACGAGAGCAGGTTATTCAGCCCCTTTTACCCATTTGGTGATTCCCTAAAGTACTGTCAAATCTTTATATATCACCATGTTTTACAGTGTTTTTAAATCAATTTTAATATGGGTATATGGGTACCATCTTTCACACGAAATATTGAATTAATCTACTACTCTTTCTCTACCAATATTAGGGCACTGTTGTAAAGCATAGTATTCATCTTACTTTCAAAGAACACAACAGGAAGCAATACCTGTCACAAAACAAAAGAGAAGACAGCTGATTACCTTGACAGTGTACAGAGTGTAGGGGTGGGACCCTGTGCCTCTGTGCTCTTTGGCTGTTATGGTTCCTGTGATTCTCAAGTTCTGGATGATAACGGGACCATCTGGACTGCTAAGCGGCTCAAAGCTGAACGGAGCCAGGGAAACCACTCCCATCACAGGTGATGAGGTCTGCACAGGTACTGCCACTGAGAGCTCATGAGGGTTAGCGGTTCCTGCCAGCTCCGAGATCAAGGATTCTTTCTCCTGGCTAGAGCTGTGCTTGCCTGGCTCTTGGAAAATGACATTGCCAAGACCCACAAAGCTGGTTGGCCTTTCCTCTTTAGGTTCCACTATCGGGACCACGGGATCGATCACTGTTTTGAGGGTCAGACCATCTGGAACAAGCACTTTTTGGGAAGTGGCCTCTCCTAAACCCCTGTCACTTTGAAACTCTTCTTCAGGGTCCAACATGCTGCTAGTCTCTATGGGAGTAACACAGTCTCTGGGTCTATCAGACATTGTTTCATCAGCTCCAATCAGATCTAAAGACTCCACTGAGCTTTTTCGGAAATCAGACAGAGGAGACTCAAGGTCAGAGTCCTCACAGTAGAAAGGGTTGAAGGGTTCCGGGCTCAGGTAATCCATTTCAGTACATCCACCAGTCTTAATGGTGGAGAAGGGGTTAACAGTCCCATCATGCTTGGAGTCCTCTTCTTCAATGTCCTGGAAGCTGGAAAAGTCAGATTCCTCGATTATATGAAACGCATTGATCTCCGGCGTGGGAGCTTCGCTGATGCTGGGAGTTTCCAGCTGGACTTTCAGAGGTAAAGAACTTGGGATTTCCAGATTCCTTCGTTGCTCATCCGGCTGCTGCGGAGCTGGAGGAAGTGTCGGCGAAGGAGCCAGCAGATCTCTCTCTTCCGGAGCTGGCGTGCCGGCCTTTGTGAAAATGTTCATGATCATTACATTCAGCCAGTCGGGATCCGACATCTTTGTGATGAGAGGGAGAAGAACGTTACAGGTTATTAGCTCCCCGACCACGTATCTTCCTGTTCTGGTTTCCAAATGGGGAGGTGGCACTAACACATGTAGGAGCAGGTCCACCATAGCCCTTGCGTAGTTTACCTCCACAGCAGAGCTTCTGAGAGCAGGGTGGGGATCGCTACCTTTACAATACAGCTTCCAGAGGCTCCCCTCCGGATACCGGTTATCACCCTCCGGCTGCTTCTCCGGCTCTCCAATGATCTCTTTTGCTCTCATGTAACTTTGCAAGTGGGAGTCACAAAGCTGTAAGGCTCTTTGTGCAAGAGCTTTTCTGTCCACCCTCCTGGCTCTCTTCTTCAGCTCCATGGCCATGGACAGCATAGCATTCTGCACTTCTATCTCAAACTCCGGCTCCCTGGACACAGTCCTGTACCAGGACGACACAAAGTCCCGGATGATCTTCCTGACTGTGTCGTGAATTTCTTTGTCCAGCAGCGCCTCAGCCTCCGGGGAGTGTGGCATCTTCTCCAGCGTGACAAACCGTTCCAAGTGGACGACGCTTTTCATGTGAAGGATAGCCTGAGACCCCAGCCAACCGCCCAGGACAACCAGAAGGCTGGTAAAAATGCACAGCAGCCACACATTCACCAGCAGGTGGAATAACAGCAGCCAAGCCAGCAGAACACCAAAGCCCAATAGTTTCTTCTGCCCCATCAGCTCCGAGGGCATCCAGGAACTGGGACAAAGAACCTCGGGCTGAGACATGTTTGTCCCAAAAGATTAGCACCTGCAAAAAATCAAATCAGGGAATCGGTCAATAAATTAACAGCTGTGCATTCATTTTCAGTACTAGCCATTTTTAATATACTGACACTGAACCAACGGCTTACTTATAAGGTGCACAACTAGATCGTCTTACAAAATATTAACGAAGATTAAGGGAAGTTTGAAACAAAATGGTAAAGTACAAAAAACAATTCAACTTTGTAACAAGATTTAAAACAACAGCAAAAAAAACATGATACGTTTGCTAGAATCAAATCCGAGATTTACTGGTTTTAATTACGTGTCATTTTGTAAGTTTCACAAATCCTTCAAATGGAGGAAATGTACTGTCATTTGTTCTATGGGGAAGATTTAGTGTTTATAATGAAATTCCATAGTTGACCAATATGTGGTGTACAATATTTTACATTTCAAAAAGTTCATTTGCAGTGCTGCTTGTTTTAAAAGCAAATAGGTAAGAATTAACTGAAAACATTTGGGGTGTTTCAGCTATGTCTTGTCTTACACTACATAAGGTCTATAAATATTCTCAAAGACGATCATTTGGAATCCAAAAAACGCAGGCTAAGCAGCACTTGTTCAATGGTATTTAGAAAAGACTTGGAAAAAAAATAATTTATAGCTTAACAAACAACATTAGACAGACTGACAACGATTCGATAGTGAATGTTTAAAACAGCCATGCCCATTTACCACAATACAATTACATCAGTTCAGTTATTCTTAAACGTAAAACAATTTTACTGTTTACATTTTATATTACCATCGATCTAAGTGACATAGAATCAAACGATGAGTAAAATTAATAAAATTCGTACTCCACCTTTTGAATAACAGCAATTGCAATACTGAAATGAAAAGGTCCCAGTTATAATGTTACAGGACTTGCAAAATAATCTTAGAGCAGACTTTACATTTCAGACTTTGAGACTTGAGTAACACAGTACAAGGCATTTGTGGGTGAGCATCTTCATTAATGTGCGTAAAAGGCATGCACGGGTATAAAAGAACTGCAAATTAAATCAGCACCAAAAAAACAGAAACCTCCAACGCAGTTTATCTTCAACGCAGTTTAGCTCAAATGCACCAGACAATTCGCTTCAAAACGAAAACCAGGAGATACATACAGCAGTTTCAGTGGATGAAACAGGTCAAACCCACATAAATCAGATCAGACTACGCCATCTTGCTCGCCTGTTTGTTTACTTCCTCTGAAAGAGAGTGATGAGGAGAGAGGGGTTATCAAGGCTCTCGATTTCTAAGTATGCCCCCTGCTGGTGGGGATGTACTGCTGCACATGCAATTCTAAAACGCGCTTGCTCAGAAAATTACCAGCTCGTTGTCAATAGCAAGGAAGTTTGGGGCTCTCATGTTTGAAAGTTTTGTGTAAAGTGATGATTTAAAAGAACTTTCACAAATTAGAAAATACCGCTTTACAATAAGTATATATATGGTATATGAAATACCGCGGATGATCTTCGTATGAAACAAAAGCATGTTAATGAATATTTGTAATATTATTACGTAGCCGGCAGGTGACGCTAAAAGACAAATTAAACAACGCAGTTACAGGTTATCGTGTTGGCATAGTTTTTCGTTACATCGTGGGTACAATGCGCTGTTTTTAAAAAGTATGGTATTTACACGCGTTTCACATACTTTTGAAAAAAAGCAGTTAAATGTCACATCAGGGAAAATTATGTTACAATTATGCAAATGCATCGTTATGGCATGTTTTAGTATATAATGTACTATTTTGGTCACCGAAATACAGATCAAATATTATTGTTTTGGGATCCATCCGGAGAAGAGCGACCAGATGCAGTCCCAAAACTCAACGTTTATTCACTCATAGACTCCTAGGCTAAAATAACTGACTTATTTTGGTCTTAAATAGAAACGACTGTCAGGTGAGATCAGATTCGTGTAAAAAAAGACATTGACAAAGCCAACTCTATGTTCTCCTTCAGAACTAGTGAAGCACAAAAATGAGGACACGTGTAGAATCAGGAGCCTTTAGTTCTAGTTAGTTGACTATAGAAAACATTATCAACTCCTAAAACCTAATGAGCCAAGCCCGAGCCCAGGGGGAAATGAAGCAAGGCCTTTTCGTATTGAGGAAAAAAAAGAATAGACCATAATTAACTCTGAAATAAATATAAAAACACGATTGTCCTTGTAACATAAGAGGTTACTGCAGGAACCTGCAAAGACACTACACTACAGCAGTGCGCTTAATACTCATTTTCTTCTTTCTTTGGTCGTGTACTTCCTCACAGGACAGGAATTCACGTATAAATGAATGTGCCGCCTTCATGTAATAGCTAGTGTGACATCCTGCACAGTCAATTCTTTGTCAGTACGATGAGGATTCGCTGTTATCCCGATAGAAGAAGTGGTGTATAGTGCCCAGTTGAAATCGCACGCCCTACTGGGAGCTCAGTGGTCAAAATCTCCCAATTCTCCTCATTCTCTACTCGGACTTTAATAGCATCTTCTGTCCCTGGTCCCTCCGGGTACAGTACGCATTGAAAAACGTCTGATTGTGTAAGTTAGAAATCCACCTATAGGCCAATTTTATGTAACTTCTGAGTGTAGGTATTAAATTACCGATGACATAACGACAATTTTAAATTTAAAGTTTTATTTTTGGCTAACGGAATTGGTTTTAGGTTTTGTTTTGTGTCGTCATCTTTCATTTCGTTTTTAGATTATTACAATGAGGTTTAAATTATTATGCTTCACTAAAACTCTTAATTATCTGCTATTAGTATTGGAATGTCGTTCGATGAATCTTGTATTTTAAAAAAAATGCTTTCACAAGCATGTGTAATCCTCCGTGAATGGATTTATTTTCAAATTCTCTTCTCGGACTTTTAAATGTCGTTATCTCTCTGGTCTCCTTCTGCCTTTTAATGAGACGGTCGTGTAAAAGAATTAACGGTGTCTGTGAGGTTAAGACTATGAAGCATGTTTTCAGATTAAGTCATGTCAAATAAAGGAGTTAATATGTACAATATAGGATATGTCATGGGTATACACAGTCTATATGAGCCCAACAGGAATGCGTATATTGCTTCATGTACAGTACAACGTTATCGATTACACTGCATTTATTCATTTTATTCTGTAATAGCGCACACTGACGACTTGTTTTCTGCGTGGGGTGTCTGTAGTGGCTTGCTGTAGAGTATTAAAATGAAATAAATATCTACAACATCACCCTCAACAGTTTCCTTAGTGCGCCTTCCGCGGGTACTGAACTGAACAGAACAACTGTTAACTTACAGAGAGATGTTGAAAGACAAAGTGCAACTGGTAGCTTGTAGCGAGATGTTGAAAGAGAAAATTGGCCAGTTTGCCGGAACCTTAAATTTTATATTTTATCTTGCTCTCTAGCCTGCTTTCCTCTAATGCCTCCAGTTAGTTGTGCTAACACCGAGTGGTTTGTTTTTTTTTAACCTCAAATGGGACCCTAAACATTCTGGATCTGCCCGTTTCCTGTGTTTCTCACAGGACTTGATACTTGATACCCCGGGATGTGGAAGGAAAACACATGGAACCTGAACGGGTTAGTAATCAGGATTGCTCGCTTGAAAACAAAAATGAGGCCCAACATTTGCAATCACTTGGAAATGTCTGCCTCAATGCTGTTCTTAATATTTTCCCACGGCTCGGAAACGACAGGACAATGGCATGTATCGTTTTTTTATTATTATTAAAAAAACAGGCGTTGTATACCTTTCGGCTTTCTGCCATGTTTAAGATTGCGTGCCTGCTGATCTCTCTAAAGACCAGAAAGTCCCTCAAAGACCAATCATGATACTGCACCCCTGTTTAATGACCTTGCAGACCCATCTGGTTTAAATAAAGAGAGATTACACTGTGCAAACCCTGGAATCTTTCCATCACAACAAAGGCTGGGTATTTGTTTTAAATCTATATATTGCAGATGTTTTGCAATCAACAAAAAAAAAAGTTTTGCTTCAATGCCCAGTACACACCAATAGTTTAGGAATTTCATGTGTAAGAAAACATACTGTACATTGGTACATTAAACAGAAGTTCCACTAATAAATTGTTGAACCAGCTCTACCTGTTAGAACACACTGGATGTGTGGACAAATGTATCTGCTGGCATTATTATGGCCTTGTAATTCTTCTTTTTCTCCTGGTCCTCACATTGTACGTCGTTGGGTTTTTTTTTGTGCAAAAAGAAAGGAAAATCAATTTTGCATTAAAGCAAAATTGTAATGAATACTTAAAAAAGGTTCATCACTTAATAGAACGGGATTGTTTTTATGGAGGCAGTACCTTACAAAGGGAAAGCACGATGATGTCGTCGAATTCTTCCTTCGGATGAGATGTAAAACCGAGGTCCTGACTCTCTGTGGTCATTAAAAATCCCAGGGCATTTCTTGAAAAACCACTGGGGAGTTAGCCCAGTGTCCTGGCCAAATTTTCCCCTGGCCTTTACCAATCATGGCCTCCTAATAATCCCCATCTATGAGCTGGCTTCATCACTCTGTTCTCCTCCCCACTGAAAGCTGGTGTATGGGGAGCGTACTGGTCCACTATGGCTGCCCGCGCATCATCAAGGTGGGGCTGCACACTGGTGGTGGTGGAGGGGAGTCCCCATTACCTGTAAAGCGCTTTGAGTGAAGTGTCCAGAAATTTATATATTATATATAAGTATAATATACTTATATAAATATAATATATTAGTGTAAGGAATTATTATTATTGTTGTCGTCTGGGGCAAAAATAACTCAAATTGCAAAGATTTTTTAAATTAAAAAAAAGAAAAACAAAAGGTACTAAAATGAAATTCTCATTCAGTATAAGGGTTCTGGCAACACACAAATGCAGCTCCTTAAAAGTTCTGACAAAGTATTCCCCACACACAGCGTGGATGAACTCACCTTCCAGTTCGTTCAGTGACGCTAGTGTTAGATGGCTGCTATTCAGCCATTAGTCTGTTTCATTCAATTTCTTAGCTAAATTCAACCAGTCTGACTCTTGAAGAAAGATTTGCCTCTGATTTAAGGCTCTTAGCTCAGTTTAGTGTAGAGATTGCTTAACATGTAAGCAGACAGGGGTCGGGTAACATATGGTAATGGCATGGAGCCTTATTTTTTTATAAGTGGGGGGAAGGGTCTACTCACTTGTGATTTCTTGGGCTGAGGGTGGTCCGGATATTGTGGGGGATATCTTGACTTATTTCTGGACATCTAGCTGAAGTTCTGTCTTTTATTATATCATACATTTCTTCATATGAACCGTTACTGTACCTATCGATCGTTTTAGAATAGTCATGTTTCAAAAGTCATTTAGACAAAGTCTTTTTCAAAGAACATGCAAAATTACCAAGACAACACAATGGATACAAAAATGCTAATTTTATACTCTTCTACCCTTTTTTCTGTTTGCAGATGTGCATCAAACACCCATATCACCTCTATTTTTTCGCCCATTAACTAAGAACTTATTTTGTAATAACCACGAAAATACTTCATACTTTAGACAGTTAAACCACAGTATGTGACTGTCACACAGGCGCCGGTCTGTGCTGGTTTATATCATTACGCAGCCCAAAGTCCTCCCTGAAAAATAGTGGACAAAGTGGATGTGATTAAAGACTGGCTGATGTATTCACATCACCTGGGAAGTACAATTAACCTATTCAACACGGCACCTCCCAGCAAAGCCAGACGGGACTAATTCCCCTCCGTTCGGCACAAACGGAAGGTACCCAGCTTGTCTTCCCGGCCAAAGCGCCAGTCATTTATATAGTGCTATTTACTGTACGTTATACGGGCTATATTGATTGTATTTACTTTTAACTTGATTTTCATTTTAAAGTTTGTGTATCCACACAATTCGTGGCGCCAACCATAGTATTATTAAAGAACGGAAGTGCGGCAGAGCGTGCAAAAACGGTCCAATTTAGACAAATGAGTCGGATCTTTTCCCCTCTCGGAGGTGCCCTGTAGAGATGTGCGTGTGTGCGGGTTGAGGGGGAGGGTAGTGGGTGGGAGAAATTCTGTCCATTCACATGGTTACGACACGATAACTTTCTTAAAAAAAACGTTTTAATTAAAAACTCCTGTTCTTTTAATTGTATGGACCGGATTTTTATGTAACTTGCCCGTGTTGCTACAGATTAGCTACAGCTGTTATCGTTGCAGGAAAGCGTGTCAAATTAGTGTTGTATATTTTATGTATAGATGACTGCTTTGCCGTTCTTTATTACTGTTATTTATATTTCACAGCTTTCGTACACTGTTGAAAAGGTAAGCTAACAATTAAAGAAGTTGTTTTATTATGGAAAGGGTTAGGGAAAAGATACTCCGGTTACCCAAATTATGCAAACAGAACACACAATGTGTGAAAACACGATTTATATTTATCTTTTAAAAAAGTTTCTGCAAAGATTAACAGAAATTGACAGCAACACAGAGAAGCAAGACGCCTTCCGACACCATAACATCCCCTATCCTAACCCCCCCCCACCCCACTACATACAGCCTAACCCCACCTAGAAGCAACCGATATCCACGTACAGTAGGTGGAGAATTGTAAGCAGAAATTTAGCTGTTAAACGTTTACAACATCACGGTAGCATTTACGTTCCAGAGGCAATACTAATGAAATTTGGTAAGAAAGTCCAAAGTCACAAGTATTCGAAGGCGTTGGACAATGTGGCCGTCGACGTTTTCACTGAACATGCTTATAAGCGACAAAAGACAGAGCCACAACAATAATTATTAAAATAATTCCGCACACAAATCCAATTATGTTGAGAATCTTTGCCGTCCGCGATGCCTCCTGAGCTCTTGCGGTGTCTCCAGATGCATTGGCATTTTCCACCTGTAATAAAGCATACCATTTTAACGAGTTAAACCTACATAAATTAAAGCGATTGCTTTTTTGGGAAGGGGTAGGGGGCGAGTGGGGGGGGTTCACGAAACAATTTCTTCACTACAGAGTTTGCTTGTCTTTTGCTTCTCAGTATCATTTTCGCATCAACCTGAGTTTCTTCAAAATTCCGTATTCATTTTGTAAAAAGTCGATTCCGCAACACCCAATTGATAAAAACGAATGGCGATATACTGTACATCGAACAGAACTAGAAATGCAAGAAGAACTTTGATTTTGCTTGAAGATTTGAAGAAGGCTGTTGTAACTCTGGAATTCTGTAGGAAAACAGCTTTAGACAGTTTACCATTTTATTTTATCCGCGTTCTGAAAAAAAACAAAGCATATACTTCTTATAAAGGTGAATGTCTTTTCACCGAGAAACTTTCTAGGCTAAGACTGAAGTATTTAGTTTAAGCAGTAACTTACCTTCCAAGAACAGATAACAGCAGCGATTCCAAGGGGCAAGCAACAACATATCAGGTTGAAAATGGACCACACCAAGTGGGAAGGGACGGTGGAATGACCCTGGGATCTCTGCATTTTTGGTGCGTGATCTACACTGCTTTCAGTCCAATGCTTCCTGCCGTTCGGAGCGAAAGTCTGAACTGATGTCAAATTCATTGGTTATAAAATGTGGCGCTTCAAGTGGTGCCCGCAGAGGAGGAGACAAGCCTCTCTTTTGGGTTTTTTTTTTCTGGGAGGGGTGAAAACATCTGTTGCGTTTTGGAAGTGTTCCTGATCTTCTGAAGAAGCGTAGGAGCGCTTGTCACTTGAATACCTAAACCCGCGTAATCGAACAAAAGAACAGTTTCGCGGATTCTCACAAACCTATCGCAAAACGCTAGTGCTGTTATTGAATGGGCATGGAACGCTTTGCTTATGTTCAGGAGATGATAAATGTAGTCATCATACTGTAAATTAGAATTCCCCTGTTAAACGGCTTTCTGACATCTTTGACGAGATGCGAGATCATAGCAAATGGGCACTGTGGAGTGTGGAACTAGGGGACTTGAGGGTGTTTGAAGTACTCAGGTTTCAGGCGAGATTTTTAGTCTGGCTCTTATTAAAGACCTCAAGGCCGTTGGAAAAGTAAAAAAAAAAAAACTTTAGCTGCACTTGATGAGGATTTAAGTGATTAAAACAAAAAAGATTACACTAATCCCGATGCCCAGGACAGCATTCCCTTGTTCCCACGTCTCTTCAAAACGTCTTTGTTTAAAAACTTAAATATTTGCATCTGAATTGCACGCCAATATTTCAAACAGTTCAACAAGCTGATCACTCCCGATTGATGCAGTAAATCCAGGCTTTACAAACCTAAGTAAAAACAGACCTGGTGTTACTTGTGTAAAGAGAATGTTTGGAAATGCATCCTTCAAAAAAGAAAACATTGTGTCTGGTTATATCGATTGGATACTTAAAAGGTGTATAATCCCCACATATACTGTAACACCCTAAAATGTAAAACTCACCATAAACCCAAAGCTTCTACCCGCAAATGTGAAAACATCTGTCAAAAAATGCACACATCTCCCCCTCAGCACAAAAACATTTATAGTATATGATGAATCACAGCTAAAACATTTCTAATGCTGTTCTTCAGAATGAAAAGTGAAATGTAATCTAGTTTTATTCCATTTCCAACTTTTGATATCCAATTTAGAGTTTCAAGGCCTTTTTTTATTCTATAATTCTTTACTAGAGAATACTTTACACTATGACTGTATATACATACTGTATATGCACACATCTAGGGAGCAAAGAGAAAAGTATGTTCTACTCAGGCCAATTCTATCATTCCCTAATATCTAGAAGGTTATTCTAAATGTTAGAACCCAAACCCTTTCACCTTCTGCTTCATCTCACCCCAGTTGCCATAAATCTCAAAAGCTAGTCAGTTTTTTTTTAAACGTTTTGCTGGCTGGGCCGAGATGGGCTGTCCAAATGCAGAGCGTGCCAATTAAAATGACTTTCCTGTTTCAGTGGCGACTTTTTTCTCCGCACCCACTGTAGAAGCAAAGCGACCGACAGACTCAAACGGCATCACCCCCACAACGCACCGGTGTTCTGTAGCAACACGGCATTCATTCATCATGGGTGAAGAAAAAACCACCGAAGTTTTTAAAACCTACCTGGCCTGGTCAATATTCAACACCCTGTGCTGCTGTTTCCCACTTGGATTTATTGCTGTAATCTGTTCCCTGCGGGTAAGTGTTTCCTATTGGGAAGCATCTGCGCTATTCTACTACACACACTTAAATGAGGAAACAGTGAATGTAGTTATCTGTCTGATACTTGTAGCACAAATTTGTGTTGTTTTGGACTTGTATAGCATAGTATTTTCTTGGAGCAATTTGGATCAAGTACCACGCTCAAGGGCAGTAGCATAGCTGGGGTTTGAACCCATCAACTCATAGTTTAGAGCCCAAAACTGTAACCACTCTTTTCCAAAAACTTATACCATATAGCGTAAAACCTGATCATTTTAGTCTTAATTGAAAACAGCTTTCATCTCAATCCTTTTAAATGTTTTGTTTTCTTCAAAAAACAATTTTGGGAGATTTTGGTTTTCAGTGAGAAACCCCCCCCCCCGCAAATTCATTCACGTGTAGACGTTTTTATTTATTGGTTTGATAGGAATGCTGTGAAATTAAATACAGTATTGTATTCAAACTTGTACTCTGGGGTCTAGTCTTAACAGATGAAATATTAAGAACTGATAGATGAAGTAATATAGTACATTAATGTACAGTACACAGGGTTAGCATTAAAAATGTAAAGTCACTGGATGTTAGATTTTGAATATAAAAGAAATCGTATGGCCCCACCCAGGCAGATTTAAAACATTTGGGAGCGAAGAGTATTCCGAAAATTTCTGGCTGCCAGAATGTTTGTCCCAGTGGCTCATCTGGAGCCTCCTCACAACAGTGATTGTAGCATGATTTGTAGCTCATTTGTGATGCCTTTCAAATACCAGACAGAAGCTGGACAATGGAAGTTAGAGGCAGCTAATTCACATCTGCTTTCTTGCCAGCATATCATAGCAGAACAAGTACAAATAGTCCTGAGGGACATACAGTAGGTTACCCAATGCCACAGGACAGCTTCTGCTAGAGTAGACTTAGCACCTCACACGGATTGCTTTTCCAGGTGTTGAAGAAAGTATATTGATTAATTTCAGGAATTATATTCCTGAGGAAATTGAGTGATAGACAGGATGGATACATTGAATGCACTAAATGAAGTTAGTCACTCATGAGGTCCGTCAAAGGCATTTTGCACCTTACCAGAATTGACTGCCTTTTGTCCCACTTACAGATTAAAGTTTGTCATTCTAATTTTGTGTTCTATTGTTTTTATAGAAATCAAACTTGGTTTTATACAACTGTGCAATGTGCTAACTCAACAGCTAATGACTCAAAAATAAGGGTGTGCAGCAATCTCAGCATATAACTTAATCACTAACAGGACAAAAAGGTCCGAATTGGTTGAGTTTATTTTCACTCATTCATGCACAAACCCTTGAATAACCCATCTTTTGTAAATATACTGTAGCTTGAATTCTTTGAGAAATGAACCTGCTCTTGGTTTAATAACCCATGTGGTTTACTCTAGGTTGAGAATGCCATCGCGGTTGGAGATACTACACGCGCAAGAGTGGCTTCTCGCCATGCCAAGATCTTGAACATCACTGGGATTATCATGGGAGCCATTTTACTCATCGCCATTATTGCTTTCTACGTGGTCATTTTTCAGCTTACTAAAACAGACTAAACACCGCGCAATGTCTTACCTTTCAGTAACAAAAAAGATTCCTATTTTTTATGCTTTTCTTCCTTATTTTATCTTCTATGCTTAAGACACATGCTTACAGACTACAATGCTTCCATAGTCTAAGCCACTGTAGATTTGTTTCATAGAATTTATTAGGAACTACAGTATACTGGTGGGAACTTAATACATGAAAAAGTAAGCAACTGGTAAAAACCATAGAGAAAAAGATATGTAACATTTATTTGGGTACCTTTGTTCATTACATTGCATTGCATTGTACCTGCTTAAGAGATAGACCAGGACATTAATTTAAACATGATTAACACTTTCAGTAAAATTCTGAAAATTAGACAGTAGATTGCTACTTCACTTACTTTTTTTTTATTTTTAGGCTGCAGAACCATTTCAAGGCTTTATAAAACTCTGTTGCAACCAAGTTTAATATATAAATGCATTAAAGAAATTAAATTATAGCCTATTGATGGTTTAAAATGATTAAAAAAACTTGACAAGATCAAAATTACAAGAGGAACTAAGAGCACAGACCAGAAGGAGGCAGCTATCAAAGATCATGGCAGAAAGCTGGTAAATCCAGATCGATCCAGATTCATTGCAAAACTTTCAACAAGGATTAAGCGTCTTGGCCTGTAGCTGGCGTAGTACCAAGATAATGCATCATTTTGGCCTGTGTAGAAATAATTTTAAAAGGATAGACAAAAATGCAAAAAGCAAACTTTAAAACAGCTAACGGCAAGTCTGGCAAGACCGATATCCTGATGCGTTATAACGAAAGTTAAGTTTACGGGAAATCAAGAGATGTTTACACTTGACCCCAGCCTAACGGAAACGTAAGGAGTCTTTCTAGAAGTGATAGAGCTGGAGAAAAAGCGGTGACAATTACACCAGATATGCTTAATTTTTTCTACAGGGTCAGAATAGCAGTGCTCTATTGTATACATTCAGAAGGTTAAGAAAAACCCATCACTTCTATTAGAAAATAGAAGATAGCAATATACTGTATGACAATCCATTTATTGTTTAAATTTCTGAATACAAGAGCTCAATAAGGGTAACAAAAGCACAATCTCTCCTTATAAGTTCTATCCACTTTCATCATGGTTTTATCAAGTCAAAACTTGCTTTACCATGTAGAATCAATGTTTTGGATTTAAATGATGAAATATGATACCATTTAGGGCTTTTATCTAGCAGTAAAATAACTTGAGTAAAATGTATTCACTGAATCACAGTACATTATAGAGATGGTTAATTACTTAAGCAATATTAATGGGGTGTGCCGTAGTCAGTTATCTAGAGGCAAAGAAAATGGCATAAAGACACCTCTTAAATTCTCAAAGTAAAAAGGTCAATTTTAAAACCCCTCAGCAAGTGACAAATAATACAAAACATTTTCTATAATACTTTAATGTATAAAAAAAAGTATCAACCATCACAATGTAAATTAGTAAGCCAATTACTTCATTTGGCTTCCCATTACATCATGGAAGACATTTTGTATCTCTGCTTTTGTCATTAGCCTTTTTACAAAATCTCATTTTGATGAAGACAAAGTAGACTACATTCAACTTTAGCAGGATTCTTGCAACTTAAATCTTCCTTTACATCAAACAATTTAAATGGAATTCATGTTAAGTGTGATTCCTTAACCAAATTGAAGCCTTTTTGGTTACCGTTGGGAAATGAAATTGACTGGTGAGCTGAAAAGAGAAGCCCAGGTAATGAAACTACCCAAACAGTTTCTGCTAATTTCATGGCTTTTATTTGTAGCTTATTTTATTTTAAACATCTTCCTTTCACACACCAATTTTGTACACCATGTTCAAAGCAAATCCACATCCGGATGCTTGACTTGTAGTGCAATGAACTTGTACTGCAGCTTCTCTCATTCCCAGCAGTGCTTTGAAAGCAGTCTCATTTTTGCCTTATCAGACTAGAAGCCACACACACACACTACAGCTCCATGCTCATTCCACAATTAGAGGCTTGTATATTGGTCTATGTCAAATGGCCTCCTTGGCTGTTTACACATCATTCAAGTGCTTATGAGCAGATGTAGCAGATCATGCAATAGGTTCTTGGTCATTAACTTCCACTTGTGGCAACCTCTTGGCCAACTCAGCCTTACAGGAACGTTCTCACAACTCTGGGTAGAATTCTGGTTATATTTTCATCTTTGATTTACAAGCTTAATAATCTGTCATGTTGGTAAAAATAAGTGGCTGGTGGCTCACTTTTATTCTGATTTCATTATACAGTATTGTGAAAATGGATTTGATCTCCAAATATTACACTTTATATTTGGTATAGTAATGTATGTTGTTCTAAACCATTCTTAGGATAAAGGATTTTCATATTTTTACCATACTTTCTTTGCCTGATAAACACCCAGCCCAATCATTAAACTAAGTAGAGCCTTCTTTCATAATATAAAGAAATTAAATGAGATAAAACATTTCCTCTTGTGGATTAAAGCCAATGGGTTTTATCATGAAAAGAAAATTTACTTCAACTGAATACCTTCATAGTTTACTTTAAATTTAGTCTTTGAATATAGCAAAAACTACAAAATGTACAATTGTCTCTTGTTTTCAACTTCTCTTATGTTCTTAATTATATATAAATATGCAGGCTATGTTTGTTAGGGATTGAACTCAGAAGTAGGCAGTTTGACCTCACAACTGTCACGCCACCATTCCTACCCATTAAGTCATACATGGGTCAGAGTTTTACATCAGTATGCTGAGCACAGCCTTCAAGTATGCAAGCCAGCTGTTTGCTTCAGGACAATATTCAATTGATGTGTGAAGAACAGAAACCTTATTTGTATTTTCAGAACACAGAAACTGACTATGACAGATTCCCTGCTTCTTGGAAAAGGGAGTGTTTTTCAAAAAACACAATATGAAATATTTACTTCAAAAATCCAACTTAACATCTCTAAAATCTAAAACCTTGACTTAAGTTACACATTTTCTGTGGGATGCTGGTCTAGGTTAAGAGAAAACAGCTGTTTTTTGTTAAAATTAAAGCCTATATTCATTTATATAATTTTAGCCAGCGCTGTGTAATTGTGTCCCACAGGGACACAATTACAGCAGAGAAACATGATTTCCAAATTCAAAACAGCACCGTTTATTTATTCCAATATGAACTACACTCAAGATTCTTCCATGAGAAGAAAGGCATTTGCACTGTTAAACAGCTACACAGCAAGAAAACATAAGCCATCCAGATCTTGAATAAAAGTAGTAAATGCTGTAAAGAAATTAAATTGGTCAATCAAATTAAAGGCATGCATATCATTTGACAAGTATCGATTTGATTATGACCTTAATCAAGGGCATCTAATTGATAATGTATAAACTGTACAGTGCCTTGCAAAAGAATTCAGACCCTTGACCATTTAGCTAATTTTACAGAATTACAAATCCAATACTGAAATGTAGTCCTGTGATTTTATTTCTAAGCACTGAAACTCAAATTTTAATGTTACATTGCTGTATGTTAGGAAATATTAAGAATAAACTGCAATATGCTGCTTGCATCAATCCCTGTGTCACGGAAGCTTTAAGTTTCCACAGGTAACTGCCCTATCAAGGACAAATTTCTTAGACTTGGCCTCTACCTGTGAATCATTAAAATTTGCCACAGTTAAGGCACCGTTATTCAGGTTGTGAAACTGAAGGACAGCTGTGAAAATGAAGACTAAAGAGCATTCCAAAGCAGTTGGAGATAAAGTAAAAAAAATACTAAATATTAAAATACTAAATTAGGAATAGGGTACAAAATATCCCAGTGGGCACTCTTGGTTCAATCATCAGGAAGTGAAAGCTACATCAACCACCCAGACACCAGACAGGAAGGAACTGGATTCTAAAAAAAATGGCCCTGCTGCACGTATTTGTGCATCTGCTTTGCAGTGGATTCCAGTACCCCACCTAGCCCCTGCCTGCTGCTGGGATAGGCTACTGCTGCCTTGAGACCCCAGACTGGAAGAAACCATTTGAAAACAGATGGGGTGGGGGAGAAGATTATGTTTCAGAAAAACAAGTTGATTTCAAAGAGGCGTTTCTGTGCAAAACTACTGGATTTTGTCAAGAAGCCGCAAAAACCAAGGGCATAATTCTTACAACATTGAGTATCTGGATTTCCAGAATGCCTTTGACAAGGCCACCCATGAGAAACTCATTATGAAACTTCAAGGACTTAAAGTTACACACTACGCAAAAGTATTCACAACTGGCTTCAGCGCAGGGTATCGAGTGTAATAAGAGGGGGAATGTTTGGCTGGAGTATAGGAGTCCAACAGGATTCAGTACCAAGGCCTCCACTCTTCCTCATGAAGAATCTCATAGAAGTGAGTAGCGCACCTTACAAATTAGAAAAACCGCAACAACCAGGTTATAATTAGGACAAAAGGATTCAGACGGAATACAGAAATTGGTAGATGGATAGCAAACTGCATTTAACATTGGAAAATGTGAAATTTTACTTATACAGTAGCCATCATAGAAGATGCTACAAAAACACAAAAGTAGGAAGAGAACTTTTGAGCTGTGGTAGATTCATCAGTCAGTATCCAGCCAACCCAAAACAAACCAGAATAGTTGGTTACACAAAATGTAGAATACAGGTCAAGATGGATAATGGCACACCTGTGGAATACAACTTGAACACTGCTAAAACATCTGAAGGCCTGCATAGTTTTGATGGCCAGTTTACAAAAGGGATAAGGAAGTCTGGGACAAAATCCAGAGGATTGCAAAAAGACATTGCAGAGCTTAAGATAACATACATATGAAGTAGCTTCATCTCTTCCATCTGGGATAAGGGGGATGAGCGGAAATTTAATTTTAAAGAAATGAATGCAGTTCCCAATATTACAGCAGGCCAAAAGGACAGTTTTGAACTTGTTAAAAACCCATTGTGCACAAATACTAGAAAAAGGCTTCAAGAAGTTATCGATGTATACACATAGGATTACCAGATCACTAGAGTCACTGGAAACACTTAAATCCTGATACTGCAATAAGAACACTTGGTCTTTAGAAAAATGAAAACTAATGACCCAATGGGCCATCTTATATTCTAAAGAAAATTACATTGGATTGCAGCACAAAAACCACAGAACTCAACTTAACTACATTACACATCAAATTCAGAATAATTGTAATGCAAAGCTTTTCACTGCAAATTGCGATGCACAGCAACTTCTAATGGAAACGCAGGAAATGGAAAAAGAGGAAAAGCGATTTCTGCTCCTCCAGAAGTGTGGGGTTTCCCACTCCGGCAAAACAATGTACTTTGAAAGCCCTATAAATTACCCACTTTGCAGTTAAAACAGATCACAATAAGATGTCTACATTTAGAATAAAAGCATCCTAAAAATAAAAATACTTATCTTGCTGCAAATGCTGCTCTCCTCTCAGAGAACTAATCTCAACTAGCTCTTGAGTTATATTTATAGCTGCTTAGGCTTTTAAGTAATTATATCTAATCAGCACACAGGACAAACTTTTCAATGACACCCTATCTATGAGACATACCTATTGAAAACTGATACCACAGAATGAAAGCATTTACTTTCTCAGTATTGGTTGACTGAAACTTGTACACAGCTTCAACTCGCAGAAACAGCACCTACAGTACAACCAGCTGTGTCCTCCAAGTCAACCAACAAAGACTTGGGGGGGGGTTGGGACCTAAAAAGAGCTTTATACTCTGAAATTTTACACTGCCTAATAAAATACACAAGCTGTAAAAACAATTGAAGGGAAGCAGCAGTTTAAATTGAGTCTAGAGAGACCAGGCTTTCTTCAAGAGCAAAAAAAAAAAGTAAACAGACCTAAACTCCCTGCAGATGCAGTATTTCATTTGGGAGAACTGAATTTAATTTGGTTGCTTCCTTTTTGAATGAACTTAGAAATTCTAGTACACAATGTTCTAACGGGGCAGGAGGAGGGTTCATAGAACCAAAACAAATTCACACAAGGAAGCACCATCATTTGTATTGTGAAGACAAAAGTAAGACATGAAATGGGGGAAAATGTTTGATACCAGTTCAGTATTGCAATTTTTTAAACTGTGCAGAAGCAATTTGCAATAAATTTTAGTTGTACCACTAGCAGAAGCAAACAGACAGTCTATTTTTCCTCTTGCAGGCAACTTAAGAGTGTGCAGACTTGGATCAGTTATTTTGCTTACAACTCTGAAGCTCAAGGAATGTACCAAGGGGGCAAAGGCTCTTCAAAGAATGAGTGTAACATCCATCCATATTCTAATTGTTTTTCCCCCAATCACGAGTTGCTGGGGAGCCGGACCCTACTCTGACAAGTAGCAGGTGCAGGGATACCAGTCCATTACAAGGAATAATAGTAACTCATAACATTGTTCCACATGATCCATTCATCATATCCAAACTTTTACAACTGAACTTTAAAGGTTACAAAAAAGATGAACAGTAGGGCACAATTTTAAATGAAAGATTTATTCATCAGGAAATTACTTTTAAGATTTCCCCCTCCCACACAGGTCAGCATTAAGGCAAGGTCTTTATGTCCCTTATGACAGGAAGAGGCACCGCTGTTAAAGTAGTGATATGCCAGAGGTTACCAATAATATTGTTTTACTAATTTTGTAAACATACTTAAATGTTATTTCTAATCAAACATTCTGTACTCGATGTCGTTAAATACTTCTGTATTGTTAAAATAGTTTAATATGGACAGGAAAGGTTCTTCTCCGGAGAGAAAGCATTACAGAGTTTTTACATTGTTAATTCCTTTTGCCAATTTGTGAACTTCTTTAATTCAACGGTGGATTTTAAAATAACTATAGAAATACTCAATGCATTGCCACGCTCGATCGCAATTTGTATTTATCAAGCACCGACTTTCTTCTTTCCCCCCCAAGTACATTGCTTATAAAATTAAAAATCATTGCGTTAACCTGCGCGTTTCTCGCATTACTCAATACGAAGAAATAATTTAAAGGATATTAACATTTGTGCTGTGGATTCAGTATGAAAACGCCATTAGAGCTCTTGAATTTGAGTAATTTAGGAAGTAAAAGACCGCTTTGTTCATTCATATTGGATTACAAAGAGTTTATTTCATGGCAGAATGAAGCAGCTCATGCATTTCGGTAAAACTATTGCAGACACCGATATTTATAGTACAATTTCCCCTCTCGTTAATTAGACAAGGCTCTTTTCAAACAGGCTGACAGTGAAAAGTTGCATTCAGATTGCCGACAGAAACGCAGCAAAAACTTTCCGCTCACTGAGCTGGCCTTTTTAACCAGCTTAAAATGCATCAATTACACAATCAGCTGTGCACATTTACTGTCACTTGTAAGGCACATTTCTTAAGGAAAAATTAAAAAGGATTCTTCACTTTCTTCTTCCACATGCAGAAAGTACCGTACGGAACGATTTGGATATAACACCTCAGCTTAATCACATTTTAAGTTTCCTTTACAGAAATTTATAGTAAGATTCTTCACGTCGAGTCAGAATTAAATATGCCTCAAATCGGTTAGCGTAGCAGGGACATTTGCTCCCAAAACGTGGTTTTTCAAAGGAGCCTAGAGAGCAAACGATAACCCCAAAGTTATGATGCCTTCCCAATTTTAACAGAGCCCAAATGAAAGTGTTCATAGTTTCGCTTTTAACCCAATAATAAAAATGAAAATCTCACTCGGCCGAACCTCTGGGGTCAGTCCACGCAATGACCATCTTCCTTCTTACCGGCAGCTGGCACAGCTACTGTATGAGTGATCTTGGCACTCAGAACTACTGACTACTTTAACACTAACCCCGCACTAAGTATTAAAGACTTCCTCCCAGTAGTTCAAGCAAACGTAGCACCTCACTACCAGAAAGACATAGAAAGGCTTGTGCAAACAGAGTCTTCGCCCCCCAGTATGCCTTTTATACAGATTGGTGTCCACAGGTACAGCCAATTCCTTAATTTCATCGTGGGAATGCTGCCTTTGGAATGTCTCATCACCGCCCTCTAGCGGCTCCATTGACCATTGACAAAATTTGGCTGCTCTGTTAGTGCCCTATCGATTTCTGAAGGTCTTTGTCCTTTACGCTAAAGACACATGAAGGATTACTGCTATTCATATAACTGTTGTTCCAATTATAAGCTTTGATCAAAGCAAAACTTGTTTTAATTAACTGACGTAACTTAATATCTCCCAGCGTGTAATTAGTAGTACAGTAGTGTTGATTTCAATGATCTGAGATCATTGATCAGGCTTTTAGGTGGCATAATAATCTCCACAAGGCAGTAATGAAACCCATTGCGCTCAGAAATCAACTGCTGTATCTGTCATACTTGATTCAGCGAAGCGTGTTTCCGCACCTTTACTCATCATTGTAATTTATGCATCTCTGTAATTAGAAGAAAAAACAGTCTAGGGGAACTTTTTTGTTATAAGATCCCAATAACTCAGCATACTGATAACTTGGAAACACCGAGAAAAATAGTTCTCAACAATGTCCAGATTGTATTCCTGACATGGGAAAGGAAATATCTGCGGATTCCTGTTGGCAGACTGTAGTTCCATCTGAAACAACAAAGTACCATCCATGGGTATACATTAATTCAAGTATTGTTGGAGTACTTGTGTGGTACACAATTGTTTGTGGATTTTAATTAATTCCTCGTGTTATAAATCAACAAGGAAATCTCAATAACATCGAGTGAAATCGTCTCAGTAATGGAGCAGTAACTGAGCAAACAAGGTCCTACCTATACTGTATTTCACTTTTTATTAAGTTCAACAGTCAAAGGTTTAAACTATTCTGTGGTTACCTTTGTACATATTCAATTGTTTTCATTTTCTTCTCACACATTTCAAAAGGGGGTTGCACTCTTAAGTCTGCCTTGCTTATATAATTCTCGTATTCTGTCTCAAAAAATGACAGATTCTGTAGTCTGACGATATTGCTTAATAAGTGAAACCAAGCCAGTATTAAAACCGAAATTTGAACCAAAAAAAAGGAAATGAAAAATTAGCAGTCCTGACAAGTTTTCACTTTTTTTTTTAATTTTCACATTTCATAAAAGGAAAAACTCTTAGGTCCAGGGTCTCTTTTTGCTGCTCCATCTAGTGTCTGGTTTAAGTACGGAATCGGAGACACTAATTTTAAATCTGGCCGATACGGTGCTTTCAAATAAACTTTTATAATAATGAATTGATTGCATTTGTATAAACCTTATCATCTCAAACAATACGTACCAGATTCACGGCTAATTTTTATACTACTGAAGAATTGCATTAATCTACGTTACCGCATGCAGTGAAAAAGTGAGATTTATTTTCACCAGTTTAGTTAAGGGGGAACTGTAGGGAGGCCAGATTATGCGGGCAAAGAATGTAATATAGCCATGTACGCAGTTTCGAAAAATTGTCCCCCTTTACGAACAGCACAGAAACTATTCAGTCGTTTGCGCTTCTTTGGTTTGTTTTAGATAGAAAAGACTGATGATGTCACAGACTGCGTGACGTCATTCTCCGAAAAAGATTCCTTAATATCTCAGAATGAAAAGTTACTGAAGGGCTGGTTGGAACGGCGATAATCGCAATAAATGAATAATTCGCGGACATTCTGCTGTTTATGAGGGGGTACCTCCGCGCTACTATAAGAACTATGTGGCCACACACGCTAACAAAGATAATAATAAAGTTTAATGTATAATTCGTTGCGATATTTCTTTATAAAGGTGGACGTATTGAAACTGAACCTAAGTCCCGCGTCATCTGCCTGGCTTTCTTTAAACCTTGATATTAAAACACATTGAATATGTTATCTCATTATGAGCTATATGTTGCGTGAACACTCACGCAAAGTCAGATATTGTGGCGTCCTTGTCGACGATGCCTATGCGGTGCCTATATAAGCCGTGAAAGCCTGAGGGTGTGGGTATTCAGAGCTTTGGTGCGATACTATTTCGCATTTGGACTGAATACATGATGGACCCACACATTAACGATATACTGGACTATGTTAGGTACTACGAGGTACGTGCTTTTCTTTACTTTTTGATGCATAGCCTGTTGAGGACTACTACTGATATTTTGCAAAGTAGCCCGACTTTTTTTTTTACTGAATCTAATTAAGTTAATTTTTAAGCCATTTTTAATTGCTTTTTTCATCGCAAGTCTTTTCAGATGTTTTGAATAAGGGTGACAGCTTGCCAGGTGTTTGACAAATGACAAGCCGTGTATTGTGATCATTTTGCGTAGTTTTGTCACTAGCGTTTCAGTGTAGAAATGTGTCAGCTGCTGTATCTTCTTCCACCTTGCGACACTTCTTTCAAACGCAGCCGCTCACGGTGGAGAATCTCCGTCCTCCGGAGGAGCTGCTGTCCTCGGAGGAGGACGAGGACGACGATTTCTCCGTCGGAGAGGCCGAGCTTGTCTTGGAACAAGCGGACGTCTTCCTGAAGGATGCCAAGGCCTTCGTGGGTGAAGCGCGTTCCTTCATCGAGGAAGCCGACTCTATCTTGGTAAATGTGTACATTTCACTCTTGTCTATCGAAACTGGAGTAACTAAGAGTTCAAAAGCGTCATAAATATAATGCAAAGAAATGGAAAGGGTTCATATTCCTCACATTTCTTGAAAATAATACACATCGACCATTTAACTTCTAGATTAAATTAAGTGCTTTCATACACCACATATTGCCTTCTGTTTCTTGGATTTATCGTCTGACAGAGTTTCTGGATTTCTGGATGAGCTCTTGCATGAGTTTCTGTAGTTATCTTTTTTTCTTTCTTTCAATAAAATAGACTGTTAATCACGACAAATACACAAGACTGTGTAACACAACACTGTATATCCTGAATACTGACAGTTAATCCTAACCTACTACAGTATGTCGTTGTCAATTGTTCCACAAGGAGTTACTTTGATTCATTCATCTGCTTTAGAATCTACATTTTACTTCAAAGGTAAGCATTTTCCATTGGTTTTGCTATCATATAGGATAAAAGGAATGCAACCAAAGGCAATGAAGTTAAGAGAAGCCTCCACAACAATGTGGCCAGGGACAACTTGGCTGGTGATGATTTCTCCAAAGAACTGGACCAGCTCGCGGATGAGTCAAAAGGGAAGGCCAGAGATAACTCAAAAGGGAAGGCCAAAGATAAGTCAAAAGGGATGGTCAGAGATAAGGCCATGGACAACTTAGTTGGAGATGATGTCTCCAAAGAGCTGGACCAGCTCTTGGATGAGCCAGAAGAGATGGTGAAAGATAAATCCAATGACAACATGGCTGATGACGATTTCCTCAAAGAACTGGACCAAATCTTGAATGAACCAGAAGAGATGGAGGATGACAAGGCCAAAGACTGTTTAGTTGTTGATGATTTCTCCAAAGAACTGGACCAGCTCTCGGGTGAGTCAAAAGAGATGGGCAGAGATGAGGCCAGGGACGACTTGGTTGGAGATGACTTCTCCAAAGAGCTGGACCAGCTCTTAGATGAGGCAGAAGAAATGTTGGGCATGACCCCTCAGAAGCCCAACCTCACAAATGTCAGTCTCCAGAACAGTGATTTGGAACCTAAGAGTCACAGCTCAGCAGTCTCCAAGACGAAGTCCTTGAGCCGTCCTGGTTTCCCAATAACTGAGAAAGTCCCCCTTCCTAGTGAAAAAAGGTAAAAATCACTTTCCAAGACATGTATAATTGACATTGGGTTTTCACAGAATACTGTCATTACAATACATTACAATAATCAGATTGTCCTTCTGCATCTCTTAGCTTCCGCAAAGAAATGGAAGACTGCGACAGCTTAATCAGGGAGCTGGACCAGATGCTCGATGAGCCCGAAACGCATCGCCCCGGGTCACGAGCCCGCACGCAGGCCGCGACTTCTCTTTCAGAAGATTGTGGCAGCAGCTACGGGGGGCCCCAGAAGCCGAGGTCATGCAGGAGGAAGGCTGAGATTCTTGGATCCCCCAAAGTCTCAGTCACCCCGAACTCAACAAAAGTGGATACAACTATAGAAGCAGAGACATTGACTGAGAAGAGCCATGAGGAAAATTTCACCATTCCTGCTGTGGCTGAAACAGATGTCAGGTATGTTCAGAGTGTACTGCAACACAGAGGTTTCTCACTATTTCACTGTGAATATGATTTCTGAATCATAGTGTGCACACTGTCAGAACCCTGTAGAGCCAGTCCCTTAGCGATCCGTGATCCCATGGTGTTTGGAGTGGCAGTAATTCTGATGCATCTTTAAATCACTTCCAGCCTCCAAGGAACCAGGAGTACTCATTGCTGGAATAGGTGGTGGGCGAGAGTCTGGAGGAAGGATCACAGATCTGTGGAGAGTGAGGTCAGATTACTAATTAGAAGTGCAACCCAGACATGCTCTCAGCAACGTCCGGTTTGTTTATCAGCGTTGCAGGGCTTGATGAAGTCAATTTGAAACCAAGCATTAACATTTCTACTGTGCCTCTCTGTAACATGCACAGCACAGTCTGGAGCTGTTGATGGAAGTGTGTCCTGTAATAAGCGATGTGGCTGCGCAGTGCAAAAACCTTTCAGGTCTCTGTTCTGGCACTCACAGTCACTCTCTTCTCCACAGATATCGGTCATCAGGAAGAGCAACACAGTGGTCTGCACCGACAGGACTACTGAAGCGCCGGGCTGCTGTTCCTTCTGCCTTCCTTTATTTCAAATATTCAAGGCAAACCGGAATTTCAGCAGGAGATGAAATAAAGATATATATTTTTTCCTTCTCAGTCTGCCTATTTATTGGATTGTTGTTAATAAAGATCAATAGGTGAATGCATCAGATGAGAACACCATCACAGTTACACTGGAGGGAGACTAGTCCTTGTCTACAGACTGGCCATTTCATGCACCTGTGCGTGTAGTTTTCACTGTGTCCACCATGGAGGCTGAAGAAGTCCACATTATTCATCAGTGAGAAGGCCACAGAGTTCACTTTGTTCCTGCTTTTGTGGATTGTCAGACAGTTTCCTCTGTGCAAGATGGAAAAGACCTCATTCCTTTAGCCTGTTAGCCGTTTCTTTCAGCACTAACATCTTCTATGGTTTGAATCCAGATCAGCAATAAGAGCCTAGTGGTATCCCAAACTGTAAAAATTGTCTAGATTGGGTCTTTTTACTGCTTTGAATATTTTTAAACGTAACACCCCTTGTTTAATTCTACACTTTAAACTATATTCTAACACTGTTTGTCTTTTTGGGGGGGCTTTCCCCACCTTAGGTAGAACATGAAAATTATGTTCTGACAGCCTGAACAGCCCTTCATGTTTATCTCATACAGTTTATCCATTACACTCTATCCAGAGACCTTTACTGTTGCTATTACACACACACAAAAAACAGTATTTAATGTTACCTCAATTGCAATATTCTCTTACTGTATATCTTTCTTTATCCTGTGTGGGCTACTTTTATGAACTCAGGAAGTACAACGTCAACTATTTGAAAGATAGTTAAGCTTTAAATATTAGGAAAGACATGGTTACACAGTAAAATATCCAGTTACAGTGAGGTATGATTATGTTAAAAAATTGTATCATATTTTTTTCAAGATTTAAAGTAGCTGTGTTAACACACCTACTCTCACCTTCTACAGCACACTGTCTGCTGCCAGTACATTTCCCCTGGTGCGGTTTCAAGGGACCAATTTAAAATCCAGTGTTCCTTTTACAGCTCCTCATACTAATTCATGTAATTCTTAATCCAATCTTCCCACACACACTTAAATTTTTCTACTTTTGATTTTCATTTTAAAAACTATTCAAACGATGTAACTTTTCAGCTCTGCTGTAGTTAGAAGACGAGCTTTGAAGTTACCCGACGTAACAAAGTGTGGATTTCCGCTCCTTCCAAATGCTTGCGACCGAACAAAAAAGTTCCACAGGACGGCTTTCTCAACTAAAGTAGGAACCATTACTTGTAAGCTTACGGTAATAGTTGCAAAACGTGTCTGTGTCATGAAACGTAAATGTTTGAAAGTCGCGCAATACAGCAGACATTCATGAGTTACCGATTCTGCCGAGGCGGAGGGGTCTGATCTGTTAGGTGCGGGCGTCTTTGCTTGTCCTGAACGATCCAACATGCAGGGAAGCTCCAAAAATGCACCTCTACAGTCTTTCACAGAAGGGGAATTTTACCAGGAAAACTTTGATTCCAGAGTGTATGTTAATTCCTACTATTCCAGACCAACTGGCCATTCAGACGAAAGCCAGCTGCTGCCGTTTGTACTTCGAAGCCTCAGTAAAACGTTTTCGTCAGGTAACTTTCATTTTCGTTTTCAGCCCTTCTTTGTGCTGTATATTCCTTGTAAATAACAGCTTTAATACTTGATACTACCATCACGTCATGAGGCTTGGAATGGTAACTTAGAAAATAGCATGACTAATAGCATAAATGTATGAAGCATGCCTTTTTTTCGTCTTTTTTGTTAGGCAGATACAAAGGACAGAGACTCTATGATGTTGGAAGCGGACCTTCTGTTCACACCTTGATTAGCGCCTGCGAGTATTTTGACGAAATCGTCGTCTCCGATTTTACCGACAGCAATCGACAGGAAATGAAAAAATGGTTGAAAAAAGAGAAGGGGTGTTTTGACTGGAGTTATGTAATACAATTCGTTTGCGAAATGGAAGGCAAAAGGTACAGTGTATGCTTCCTTGTATTGGTGTGAGTTGTTTCGTTGTAAAATTAAAAAAATCTGGGGGTACGCATAATCTACTGAAAACAGCCTACGTTCTTTTAATTTATCGCGATTTGTCTCATGTCGCAGCACAAGACACGCGACCTAGCGAAAGGGGAAGTTACATTTGTAGCACAAAATCAAAAACAAAGTATAGTTAAGTAAATATTTACATATGTACATGTAAATGTTTTTTTCACAAGCAAAACGTATACCTATACTTTCTCTTAAAAAAAAAAAGAACAACTACATTCAATTTACTGTCACTTTTACGGTGTTGTGCAATGTGATGGTTTAACAGAACTCCCGAAGAAGCGGAGGAGAATTTGAGAAGTCGAGTGACGCGAGTCCTGAAGTGTGACGTCAGGCTGGAGAACCCGTTTCAGCCCGTGGTCCTGGAACCCGCTGACTGCGTGCTGACCTCTCTGTGTCTTGAGGCAGCCTGCAAGGACCAGGATACCTACCGGCAGGCGCTGAAAAACGTCGCCTCGCTGCTCAGACCCGGGGGAGTGTTGGTTATGATTGGCGTTCTCAATGAAACCTTTTACGTTGTGGGGGAGCACAGGCTGTCGTGTCTGCCTCTTACCCAGTCCTTCGTAAAAGATGAAGTCGGCGCTCTGGGTTTCTCCATCAAGACGTTTGACACCATACCCGGGCCTGACAAGGAGGAAAATCAGGTTTCAGATTTCGAAGCTGTATTTTTCCTCACAGCTGAGAAAACCACCCAAAAAAGGTAGTGCTGCCTAGCCACGGGCCTTGTGTCCACCAAAAACAAAATACAGTGTAACCTTCAACTTGAGATGTTTTAAGTTGTATTTTAAGTATAGACTAGATTTTTATTTTACACAGATTCTTTGTTCGCCTAAATCTAACTACAGTAAAAAGTAAATGCTAAGTTCATTTGTAAACTTGTTCATCAAGGTTTGTTTGTCAAAGCTCCAATAAAATAGCTAATAACATGTTCTCTGCAGCATGCTGAAATTAGTTGGAGTTCTGCATCCTTTCATTAATGTTTATAGTTTAAGACATGACCTGTACAAAATGTCTTCTGAACACCCGTCCATATGTTTTGAACATCTCATTCTAATTGCCCTATCCAATACAAGCAACAGGCGCAAGGCAGGCTAATCCTTGTATGAGACTCCCGTCCTTCGGAGGCCACACACAGACACATACTGTACACACACTCACACCAGGGCCCACTTTCCCAGAAGCCAGTTTACCTACCAGCAGGACTGTGGGAGGAAACCAGTGCGCCCAGTGGAAAACCCTCAGCAACACGTGGAGAATATTCCAACTACCTACAGATGGCACCCCAGGAACTGCACCCAGGACCAAAGCAGCAACCTTTGTGCCACTGTTTTTAAGAACATTGAGTTGGTAAACTACGCATTATATCTTGTCTTCCTACTCTCCCAGCTAAACAGCAGCAAAGAGCAGCTGGCAGGTAATCACAGGAATTGTGAAGACATACAGTACAGTACCACATGGTAGATCAAGTAGGTCAGTCATGGTAGATCCCCCCAAAATTGCTTCCATACAGTATATATCTACCATGACTCCTTGTAATTGGTGATAATACAATTTTTAGAGACAGTGTAATTTTAGATCAAAATCATACAACAGAATTGTGTTGTTGGTGTGCAGCACTCTTGTTTTTAGCTGCATTTCATTTTGTCAAGACACACAAGGTGGCAGTGTTTCTCTGCAATGCGTTTCAGCTGTGCGCCATGAAGAATCTCGAGTCTGGTAGCATTAAGACATCATAAGGGCACTTGCTGTTCCATGCAGACGTCTTTGTAGGAAAACAATCATTAATATTAAAATCATGAGTCACTGTTGAAAGAGCGTCTATGTACAAGAGAAAGAGTGGGACACATCTTCTGACTTTTAATAATATTGGTGCATAAATAATCCTACTGTAGTACACATTTATGTGTACGGTACAGTTTACCAGCAGCTCAATACACCTTCAAACTCACTGTGCTTTAACATGCAATAAAATATGCAGTATATACTTACATAGCCCCAATTAACTTAACAGACACATTACATTTTCCTGTATTTCATGCATTTCAATGACACAAAATGTAATGCTTGAAGAGTTTAAGACATTTGGAAAATGAAGACTTGCCATCTGTTACTTAAAACTATTATTATAGCATGCTCCTGAAATTAGAACAGCTTTTTGAAGATGCCCTCAGGTGCAAATTTGTTTTTTTTTATTGGATTATTATAGTGTAATGTCACTTCCAGTAGTGCCAGACTGCTCAGACATACAGTACTGTACATTCGAATTAATGAGTTCCTTTAATGTATTTAATGAATAACAAAGGAAAGCCGGAGGAACATTATCCAATTTTTGGAACAAATGTACCTCATTCTCTCAAATATCTACAGTATGGAGGAAGAAATGAGCAGCAGGCACATTTCATTAGACAAGAGCATGAACATGTGAAGAGTAATACAGTCTGTTTTTTTCATTGCTAGTACAGTATTTGAGAAACAAAAATTCAATTTTGAATTGAACAATAAGGGAAAGGATCAGCTCTACCTCACAAAGTCTGATAGGCCACCTTTTGGTACATTTTGGGAACACCTGTTAAGTTATGGATGCATTTATCAAGTGTTTGATTCACTTATATGATCTGTTCAAATCTGAAGGGTTCTCAATTTTTGGTCTGAAAACACATATCACCTGCTTTCTGATTACAAAGCAATTGTTGACGCCTTTATAAATGTGTAATTTATTAATATCCTACAGTATGAAACCTGTCGGACTAGGGCTCTTAAAGACTACAGCTGAAGACCTCTGGTGTTCAGAACCGTATTAGAAGTAGCTACTGACAGACATCACTAGCTGTACCTCACAACCGGCATTAAGTCAGAGGACACGTGGGTTATAATGGACACTTAAATAAATATTTATCTTAGATTTAACAAATGTTAAGTGAAAGATCTAATTTAGCAGAGTGTGAGGAAGACACCTCTAAGGAAAGAAAGACTTTCTGTTGTTTGCATATTCAGTATTTATGACACTGCCAGAGCTTAATTGCTTTCTGGGTCACTTGGGTTCAAAAATGACAAACAGGCATCTTTAAGATTTCACTGTCTTGTTATCTTCCCTGTGCTCAATTATGCGCGTGGAGTCTAGAAGGATTACACACAGTTCATTTGTCAGTTTACTTGTCAAACATTTCGGAGTTCCATTTTGAAAGCGCAACAACATGCTCTCACCTTTTCTGAAGTTCTTACTTACAAAGACTGCGGTGCAGCACTATTTGTACATTCAGAACTAGTGGCTTTGCAGTGGGAAATATTGTACCTATTTTGTATTCCATGTGTTCAGTGTCTATTTTCTCTCATGTGGCAACTTTTGGAAAAGGACCTTTAATAGATTCTAATTCCCAGGTAAAAGACTAAAATGTTACTAATTATGTTGCCTGACAAGCTGCTTTTCATTTAACATCACAGCTGCTGAACCATCCCCCTTCTCAGTCTCTCCAGAACAGTTTTACAGGCAGCACTGATCACTAATCCCAGAGCCTGTTTAATCATGATATACAGTATACAGGTTACTTTGTAAAACATCTGATGTGCCTGCTTTTTCTGTTACAAAGTTAAAGGTTCAACTTTCATTTCAAGATAAGAATGGTTACAAATTAATTTTGGCCCATGAAGTCCGTTTGGTAGCTAGTAACTAATTAATCCAAACATGTCATTCAGTTGTTCCTTGAAAGAAGCCAATATTATGATTGGGTAAACGTGTTCCATACTCTACACCCCTTAAATTAATCATATAATTTAAATTAAATATCTGATAGAAGTCACTGAAAATTAGTCATTAGTCCCTAAACATATGCATTTTGCGAAAATTATTATATTATGAGCCCATTGCAGGAATTCTCTTGTTGTTGCAAATCTTAGCTTAAAAGGTAGCAAACAGTTTTATTCAATAATGAAAACTTTGTACAAAGCAAGTGTGAGATCTTGTGGTATAATAACTTTCCTGAAACGTTGGATATAGTATTCTGTCACAAATTAACAAGTTGATCAGAGAAGTTAATTAGATCATGCAAGTTTTCACTTACAGAAAAGTACGGTATTTTTGATAACACTATCTGTAAAGAGTATTCATAAGGTAATAAATTGAATATTCATATATGTTGTGAACTGAGATATCATTTTTTTTACTCAATGGTTTGTATATTGTGAAGATGAAAACAAACACAAAAAGCAAAGGAAAAGAGAAATATGCATTGGAGAGCTGTAGAATGATAAATGAACCCTCTTACACACTGGCTTGGAACAAAAACTGAGATAAGAGTAAACTGAAGAGTGGATGATTTATTACCACAAAAGTACGACTCTGTCTAAACCCACTGTTCTTCCTGAGTACACCCTAGTAGTCCTTGTAGTGAAAATGATTACACTGTAAACAGATTCTGATTTCTGATTGATTATTCTTCCATTTTTAATAACAGTATTTTATGTTTCAGTTGTTGGAATAAAACGAGCAAAAGGAATGTTTGAAAAAAAAAACAGAGTTCACATCTAGGAATTCTGCAAAGTAACAGACTCCCTGTTCGATAGTTTAAATTGATTTTTTGTGATCAAGCTTTTGGACATCCTGATCAATGTCAATTAAAATAGACAAATTACAAGCTTGGTTTCTTCTCGCTCAAACTATGCTATCAATGTCAAAGGTGTTCTAATAGTTCATCATGCTTTGAGTGAATTGTTGATTATCACAAAATACAGTATTGTAACTCCTGATGTGTATGAGGCTAATAAGACATTTAGTGTTTATACAAGTTAATTACAGTTGTCATTTGTTTAATCGAATTTTCTTAAGACAACACACATGCAGGCTTAATACAGTAGTCTGATTATTGTGTTGTGGGCAAAATTCACAAAGAATACTTTTAGGTCTTAATTATAATATGACAGAGGGTGTTGTCTTAAAACATTGCAATTATTTTCCTTGTGTACATGTGGAAATATCACATTGCATATACCAAGGCTTGAATTACATCTGAATCACAGATCTTAACCCATTTCAGTTGGTTTCAGTTTCACCACTAATAACTTCAGTTCTATCCACAATCTACAAGTAATGAATCCTAAGAAGACGTAAATAATACCCTTTTCAGAATATTCCTGCATTTTAGATTATTTAGAATATTCCTGTATTAGTTTTTCCCGCCACAGAGAAAAGGTTTCAGAGTATCATTTTTTTATTTGCTGACACCTCAGAAAGACATCACTCATTTGTCACCAGCGCCATCTCTGCATGATGGCATTTGGGTGCTCCATTCATTTATTGTGTCAGGTGAAGTTTCACTGGTTCAAAATTTGAATGTTTTTTTCCCCCAACGATGAATAAGCCACCTGCTGTTTGACTTTTACAATTGGGTACTGAGACAGAAAACATGGAATCCATTATATGTGCACAGAAATATCAGTCCTTGCCTATTCATTGCTCTTTAGAGTGGTTTCTTTTATCCTGGAAATTAAAAAAAAAGAGAAAGGGGTGATTTTGTTTATTCTTCAGTAAATTGAACATGCCCAGAAAAACTCTTGCAAATGCCAACAAAACATTCCTTCAGTCAATACTTATTCTGCTGTGTTTGCTGTGGGATTTGAGGAAAAAAACATCACAACAGCCTGTGATAGTGCAGGTCTCTGTGTGACAATTCCGAAACTGGGAAGCACAAAAGAAAACAGGGATTTTTTTTTTATTGTGGATTCCTCATACTGGAGACTAAAATGCCCTTCAGTAGTTTCTGAAATAATGATATTTGGCAAACATTCAGTAAATCAAACGAAAACCTGGATTACATTCAAATTTCGACCTACAGTACATGGCAATCTCAAACTAACAAACCTAGGAATATATGGCAAACAGGGTTTCTAGGCCTCTGTGGCTTGGAATAAAGAAACAGCTTCTTGCAAAAACACGACTGCAAGTACTTTTATGATCTATAATCAAGTGAGTTCAAGATATCAGGTGAAAATGAGGCCAGGGCTAATCATCATTCCTCAGATTTTAAACGAAAATGTATACTTTCTCTTGTCACATTTAATTGATCAGTAGTTTTTCAAAGCAAAACTTCTATGTTGATAGCATGATATGCTAACAAAATTCGGTTTACAAAAAAACCCCGTCTATTAGTATATTAGAAATCCGTCTGCTACTATAGTAGAGTCTAACAACAGCAGCAGATGGCAGTATATCAACAGCGAAACCTGAGCAATCATTTTATCATTTACAACCTTGACGCATTTTGATATTCTACTTACGAGCACAGGTTTAATCTTAATTAAAAGTTTGTGTTCTACTTCCAAAGAAACAGTGAGTTTTTTAAAACAGAAATTTCCACATGCATTGATCCATGTATTGACTCAGACTCACTGAAATAAAAACCCACATAGTGGTCGTATTATTACGCCGGGATATTTATGCGCGACGTGGTAGCAAGGCATAGAGTTTGCATCATACTGTATGTAGGTTGTATGAAGCACAATTTCTATTTGCTGGACAAGAACATGTATTTTTTTTTTAAAAAAATCAATGAACAGTTTTTACTTTATCGCAACAACATTTCATTCTTTCATTGTACAAGGCCAGAGATTCTCGGAACTGATGAGGAAAATAAGACAATCGATTTTTATCACAATAGCATGCATGATGGTTAGTGAATCTTTAAACATGTATACATTAATACACGTCCTTGGTAAAATCTATAAGATACGGTACATTTATATATCCAGCAGGCAGAAAAACAGAAAGTGAAATAGAAAGCATGAGAACATACATCCCATGACGGATGACGATAATGGCTTGCGTTTGATGATGTTTGTTTGTGAGCGCCTTTAAACGTAAAAAAAAATTAAAAAGTAAGAAAACAATTTGGTTGGTGAATATATCGGATATTGACAACAAGACAAATTAAATAAGCAGGGTAGACTGCATACTGCAACAATATTAAAAACAACAACAATACTAATAACAACAATTTAGATACAATAAGAATGCTGTTCATGGCATTAGAGCTATTTTGAAAAAACAAAATAAGTGCTACAGTAACAGAACAAAAAACAAAACAGGATGCATGATAACTCATATTTGCAAAACTTTCCAGTTTATTCAAAGCATTCATTATTCTTTGGCTGTTAGCGATATATTTCGCTCATCTTTATTGCGGGTGGGGGGAGGCGATATCGCCGTTGCTACGGTAACATATCCCAACAGAAAGTTCTGGCTTCAACGACGCTTGTGATTGGCTCCCTGCTACTGTATTTCCTGCTTTCCCCCATAACTGCAAACTGTGGAAATTGAACTGAGAAGTCCCTTTCCTTTTAACTCACATTTTTTAATTCAGTTTTGTAACTCTTAACCTGGTTCAAAACATGCTGAAGGAAGATGAAGATCTTGACAGGTTTCTTAAGCGCGTTGATGAGATAAGTATGTACCAAAGTCACACAACTGGCTAATGGAATTTTGTTTTAGGTTTTTTTTTTTGTGGGGTTTGCTTACCGTTTGTGCAATATGAGATATCTTGTTCTTGCTTATGATTTTTTTAATTAGATTTTTTTTGTTTTATCCTCTATCTTTTTATTTCTAGGATAACTAGCGTCCGTCAAGTATATGGGTGCAATTCTCAGATCAATCAGTTACTAACAACTCAACGGCTGCTAGCTTAGCCATCTCTTCCCAGTTGCAAACTTTATTATTTACCGTATAAATGTTTCTAGAAGTAATGATTGATTTGCATACATTTTGCAGATTTGCACCAGGTTTCTAAGTGCACTCTCTTACAGCATTCCACATCCTTTTTATTAAATGTAATCTCTTAATTATTCATTCAAACTGTTATTATTGCCTCCTATTTTATGAATTACCTTTGATGCACGTTTTCATCATAAAGAGTTTCACAATGAGTCCAGTGCTAAGAAAGCATTGAAAAAATACATCAGAATATTATACATATTATCAATGATAATAAGTGAAAATGTAGGCATTAATGTATTTTAATGTATTTTTTAATGTATTTTAAATACATTAAATATGTTAATGTATTTTAAATGAAGCTTTTTTAACAAATACATATTATATAATATAAAGAATAAATGTTTCTGCCATAATATGACATCAGGTTCAATAACCATAGCTTACAGTAAGATAATAAAATAATAATATACATGTAAAAGCTGGGCAAAGTATTCTGAGGTTCAGTACTGCTGGAGAGAGCATCACATTCCCCCGGTTTCCTTTTCTCCTCATGTCTCTGGCCCTTTTGCTCCACAAGGTGGGCTGGTTAAAGAGCTGAACTCGTCTGATCCTGTGAGCCAGGAGAAGGCTGTGGTGAAAGCAGATGAGCTCATATCTGCCTTCGAAGAGCAAGGCGGCGCCGAGGAGCCCTGTAAGACCAGAATCAATCGGACGGTGATTAACACACGCCCGCCACCGCGCCTTACATCTCCTCAAGTAAGGTCCCAGGAGTCTCTTCCCTACCGAGTCGTACATCTCTGTCCACAAAGAACGTAAGCGTTTTATATTTAACGTCGAGCGAACTCAACAGACCTTTCCTGCACAAGAAGGCAATATCAGCAAGAGCAGACGTGTAGTAGTGGAGTTTATTGCCAATGTAGACATACATTGGAATTCGTAGACAACAGGAACAATCAATTTGTTGTGGAACAATAAATATGTAGTAGTGAGACTAAACAAATAAAATAAAATAAACATAGCAGACCATGCAAAAAGTGCAGAGTGCAGATGTGTGTATAGGCACTGCAGTTAGCTGTTGAGGATGCCTGCTGCAGTGGGATAGAAGCTGGTCTTGAGCCTAGTGCTCCTTGCTTTAATGCTGCGGTATCGCTTGCCAGAGGGTAGAGGGTGAACAGTTTGTGGCCTAGGATGGTTGGGATCCTAAATGTCTAAAGCTAAGGAAGTCTTGTCATTTAATACTGCAGTGGCACTATTCTGCAGGGTGGGAGCTCATCTTTCATATTACAATGCTTCTAAATACAAAATGCATGGTACAGTATCAATGTAATAAAATGCATTTTCTAAAATTAAGCAATTAGGTTGTTTCACCATCTTCCAAAGCTTGTGTGTTTTTTCTTCCTTTGTGAAATGCCCATTGTTTTACATAGGTTAAGCATATAAGAAAGGTTATAAATGACAGCAGGCCACTCTAATATGGTTGCTAATAGCTAAGTTATTCAAGGAAACACATCCAGCCAGGATGTAAGTTTCCATGGCTGACAGGCTCGTAGGCGATATTAGTGCAGCACATTGACTTTGTTCTAATACTTTTTTCTTATATTTTTCAGGGTTTACCGAATGATTCCCAAATTAGCCAAGGTACACTCAAATGTGTTCATCATATTCGTATTAAAAATTGTTGAATATGAAGTTGACATTCAATTCACAGTCTATTATTTGTCATAGAGGTACACAAAACAGTCCTTTAAATATTGCTTAATGGTTCATGGATTTATTTCTCTCTTCTTAATCCGAGTTAATTTCCAGATAAAGTACTTACTTTTTTTATTTTTAGAACAATACATCTTAAAGCCTTACACGTTCTTGGTGTGCTCAGTATCATCAGTATGAGCAATGCCTGAACACAATGAGAATAAAAAAGTAATTTTGAACATTACACATCTGTGTTAATGACTTCATGTTCTCCACGAAACATTATCATTCACTGCATGTTGTGAGCACTTGGTGTCAAAATGGTTTAAAACTCATCAGCCTGGAATCTTAAATGGCAGTGCTACTGCTCATGGTCTCAGAGCAGTCATCCTGGACCTTTATATGATGATAAAAATATTCTGGTGCGTATATGTCTACCTTTTAATATCTCCTTTTTTCTAGAACATTTCTTGAAGATTTTAGAAAAAGATGCAGAAGACAGAAGGAAGAGGAGAAAGGAGAATGAAACTTTAGCAAACGGTGTGCATTTATTAGATAACACACATTCATTCGTACAGGAGACGAAAGTAACTGCAGTAGCACAAAATTCCAACCGTGAAATGTTCAAATCTGAACTTCTAAGGCAATAACTTTAAAACATTATGGCACATATTTCTGAGGATTCTCGGTTGTATTTGAATCCATTTTGTAAATGTATATAACAGCATAGTTGTGCTCTGCACTGAACTGAAGATGTGGCTTCAGAAACTATTGCCAGCTTTATGAGTTAGCTTTTGGCTTTATAACCACTTTAAGGAGGTTTGTAACTATAAATGGAAAAAATACACTGTACTGTAGTTTCTCTTTCAAGAAATGCCATTAACACATCGTCACTTTTTTTTACTGGGATTCATGATGTATTTTATATTGCTTTTCAGCACTAAAAGAAATGGGGAATGAAGCGTTTGCCCAGGGCAACTATGAGACTGCTGTCCAATGCTACAGTGAGGGGCTTGAAAAGCTACGTGACATGCATGTCCTCTACACCAACAGGGCACAGGTCTGAAATGGGACACTGAAAAACATCCCATAATCCACTTACATTCTTTCTCTCGCCCCTGTACACCAGCCGCAGGTAGTCAAAAAACCCCAGGGGGCTTCAGAAGCCAAATAGTAGAGAGACTGTTTATCTCTGTGTTCACCAGGACAGAAACAGGGTGAAGTTTTAAAACTGCCCTTAACTTGTAAGTCGTTATTTTGTAAATCAAGCATTACACGTTTGCAGAGATAAAAATTAGTGACTAATACCCCAGCTCAGTAAATGTGTAAGGTCTAGTGAACAGGTGATCAGTATTTCATGTTTACTTCATGATGACATTAAGACCTAAGTTCCATCTTTGCAAAACTAGAATGCTTAATTGGCAAAATAATGCCTTTCAATTAGAGGGCCATTTTATGTCCTGTCCCGGTAAGCATTGAGTTATGTGGTCACCATGCCCAATAAATTCGAGGAGTCTGTCCAGGAGTGTGATTAAACCAAAGGGAAAAGTGCTTATAAGAGTATCTTATTATGGTTCTTGCAGCAAAAAGTCTAAAATAATCATCCACATTGTCTGTATAATTATCACCATGTGTTTTTTTTTCTGTTTCTTTCTGTTGTAGGCCTATATTAAGCTGAAGAAATACAAGGAGGCTATCAGTGATTGTGACTGGGCCTTGAGGGTATGTTTGAAATATAACAGAGCTCTGGCTGTCCAGACCTTAAAGCTGCCTGTCATCTAAACAAATGTCATGTAAGAAATTCAGATCTGACACTGATGTACCAAAGGACTTTACATCTAGGTCTAGTGGGATGCTTAATTTCTCTTTGCCCTTTGCATGTATGTTTGTTTTGCACTGATTCAGAACTCTGGTAGAAATGAGGAATTTGCTTCTGCGATGAAATAACACAACACGCTCTAAACATGACTGTGAAAGCTGTGAAAATGATTTGATTATTATTACAATCATTTTGAGTGGTTCAGTGGTGCAGTGGTTACCGTTGCTACCTCCCTGCGCTGGGGCTCTGGGTTCAACTCTGGACCTGGGTTTATATCTGTGTGGAGTTTGCATGTTCTCCTCAGATCTGTGTGGGTTTCCTCCAGATACTTCAGTTTCTTCCTACCGTTCAAAGACTTACTGGTAGCTTAATTGGCTTCTGGTTAAATTGGCTTTGGTGTGATGTGTGTGTGTCTGTGTGTCTGTCCTCCGATGGACTGGTGTTCCTTTCAGGGTGTGCCCTGCCTTGTGCTCATTGCTTGCTATAATTAGCTCCAGCTCCCCACAACCCTGAACTGCAAAATGTGGTTAGAAAATTGATAGTTGGAAGTACAATTTTTTTTAAAAGCCCTGCTATGTACAATCTTTGAAAAGGTTAAGAAGTCATGAAAAACTCCCTATTTCCAAGCAAGTTTCAATCAGTGCTTTTAAAATTCACAAATATCCCAAAACCTTTTTTATTTTTCACGCAGCTATTAATATTAGTAGCAGTGGTATTACAGTTTACCTTCAATACAAACTGCAAAGTGGTCAAATTAATCATTAGGGCTCTAAGAAGTAACAGAAAGTTTATTTTCATGCGCTAAGCAAAAGCCCGATCACATTTTAAAGAAAGTTATGAAAAAGTCAAAAGGGTGTTTTTCAGGTGAGATGACATTGCAGCATTCAACACAGATGCAGTGTCAAATATAGACGTGCAAATTTAACACATCTTTTCAATAGTTTTTTTTTCTGTTCATCCTGTTGATCATTTGGTTAGGATCTTTTAGAATACAGGATGAATCAGCTTTACACTACAGAATTGAGTTCTTCATGAGGAGCCTGTTTTTCACTTGATATGTGCTGAAGACTTTCCTGTTTCAGTGGCATGCATTATTGCCATAAATAAAATGCTGGCTTCACAAAAATGGTTAATGTCGGTTTTCTCTGTCCTTTTTCCTTATTGTTTTATTCTTTGTGATCTCCTGCAGTGCAGTGCTAATTGTATAAAGGCCTACGTTCATATGGGAAAAGCTAACCTGGCCCTAAACAATTATGAAGAGGTAAGAATGTTATAATTTCATTTCAATCCAAAATTGAAATCAAGTCCATGCTTTTGGTTAGTGGCATATTCTATTCATTATTATGTTGGGGAATTGAAATGTTGAACTTCCCCAGAATTGGATTTAATTTAATAATGGATCATGGTTGGCTTTCGTGCATGATGGAATTGAATTCTGGGGGAAATGTAGGAAGGTCAGATGGTACGAACCCAAACTGGAATTCTATCTAGAATACTAAGGATAAAGCCCATACTGGGAAAATGGGATCTTAAATGACCAGGTGATTGAGACCTTGGCACTGCTAATGAATAATATCTGTATGCAAATATCGTAACAAGTGTCCATCAAAAATACATATAGTACTTTTACCCTATTTTCAGTATCTTTGGTTTTAAAGAGTTCTCAGTAAAGTTTTGTTAGTGACTGAATCATTATTTTCATGGGAATGCTAACAGCTGTTGCACAGTACAGCTTCCTAAAGTGAAATATTTCTGTGTGACGCTTCAGTGAATTGTGAACCTCCAGTGACCACGTCTGACACCTTTCTAAGTAACACAAATAAGAATTCTTTGCTGTTTTGCTTTTTTCGATGTTGCAAAAAGATCTCGTTTTCATATGCCATTTTTAGGCTCGAAAAAGTTATAAGAAGATACTGGACATTGAGCCTAAAAGAGCTAACTTAGTTAAGGGTAAGTTTTGCATTTGTAAGATTTTAAGTCTTGTGTGTTCAGTCAACAGAGACACGTTTCACTCCTGAATAGTCAAGTTCAAGTTCAAGCACACAACCACTTTGTTTTATTCTCACAGCATATATAGTTTTGCCCATGTTGCAGTATCTGTTCGTACACATCTGTGTTTATATTTAGTGCTGCCAGCATACCAAGGGTATGAATCTCATGCTAAAGAGAAATCAGTTAAACTAGAGCTCATTCTGTATTCTTTCACCCATAAAACATACTGAAATCTTGGGCTGTGGTCGTTTTGGAAAGCTAAAAAGGTATGCAACATCTTTCTTTCGAACTTCCACAATCAAATATTATATTGTAATGATTTTTTGTCATTTCTTTTACAAAGCCAAGGCTACTTTTTAAAATAAAGGCAATTTCTTCTTTAAAAAGGCTTCACTTTTTAAAGGGAATAAGGGATTTGTTCATTCTCTGTGCAAAACACTGTGTGTATTCATGGAGGATTACATTTCCGTGTATAGAGCTCAAAGGATTTAGAAATCCAAGTGTAAGTTTGCCAATGTTTACTTCAGCAGCTTGTTATTCAGAGCTAAAAAACTAATTCAATCCTAAAACAATTTTTGGCATCATTTAATTCTGTGTGCTTGTTTTTATGGGTAGGTACTCTCTGGGGTTGAAAACCTAGCGACTGAAACTTCATCAAATGTCCTACAGATCAAGTTATGATACAGAAAATGTATTCGCTTTCATTCCTATATATAGCAAAACAAGGTATCTGCTCTGCATTTATTAACATACATCTTAAAAGGTTAGGCAGACAAAAGCACATATTTTGACAGCTCTATTTTACTAATTTAAAAACTGCAGGTGGTACTCTGTATGACTCAAAAAAATATACCATACCCCCCAGCAACAAAACAACTTACTGCAAAGACTAGATTTTTCCAAAGAAACTTATTCTAACAAACACCATTTGTAGAATGTGTTAGAATTTGTCGAATTTGTTGTAAATGCTGCTTAATTCTATTATATATTACAGTACATTTCTGTTTATTTCGGAAGTATTTTGTTGTGCCAGAGTTAATATACAGTAGTTTTTTCCAAATGTATTCATATACCTGATGAGATAGGTCAAATAACAGAAAGATTTACAGATTGGAAATGTCTCTTTAATTTTTAAAAAAAAAATGTACAGTGTCTATATTTTAGTAAATATAGTAGCCATATTCGCAATGCAAAGAACACAGGCAGAAAACATGAGGGTCACATTTATTGACTTTTTTGGAGGAGTAGTTTGTTCCGGAAAGTGTTTTGAAAGAGACTGTTTTCTTGTTGGTAAATAGCTTAGGTGTCTGGCCACCGATAGAGGACATGAGGAAGACTAGTTGGAGCTCAAGGAGTTTAAATTGTAACTTTTACATTGTTTCCCTGCAATGTGAAATAAAAGAGCACTGTTTTTTTTTACATTACGGCTGTTTTTGTATCTGTTTTTACTGAGATTTGCCTATTTTAAAGATTCTGTTATAGCACCCTGTCTCTAGGTATGTCACAGAAAATCTGTGTTTTTAAAGTCATTAGGTTATGTTTATTTCTGGGTGGGATACATTCGGAAGGCATTTGTTAATATCTACTGTACATCAGATGATAATATATGAATCTGTAAAAGAGCAGTAATAGAGTAAAAGAGCAGGATGGTAAAACATTCAAAACTCCACCATTGGAAAGGAGTCTACTTGTGGGCAAGGGTAACTGTGAATGCTCTGTGATTGGTACTCTCTCTTTAGTTTTTTGTATAGACAAGATATCTGCATAGAAAAAAAAGATGAATGAAAATATTGTGAGCACAGAGTACTTTCCCTGAGCATTTTACATGGCCTTGGACTGACTTTTACGACTCCAAAGTCATGGAGGGGGGCAACATTAAAATCCACAAGGCTACACGAAAAGCTTTTAATGCCCTTGTGCGCAGAGTTAATTTTGGCAACAAAAAAATATTTACATTCTTTGTGCTTCACTGAAGAGTGAAATTAAACTGCTGAAAGATGCAGGACTGGAAGTCTGAAAATCACGTTTGTGTTCAAACAAGGTCCGTTTAGCACAATCAAGTGATTTGGGTGGTATCTTTTTGTGTGTACGCGTGCACAGCAATTTGCCAGTTTTTTTGCGGCTTCAACAAATCTGAAAAACACCCAGGGTGCACAACATGAAGAGCAATATGTACAAGTATAACTGCACACAGATAATCAAAAGACTCCTGCTATTTTTCCTACATTCATTTTAAGGCACATCAGGGGGCATCAGGCATTAGAAGCTCTGATCCTAATATTTCAGTGAAGAAGCTATTACCGAGGAGTGAGGAAGCCCAAAAGCACTGTGCTGCTCAGCTGAGAACTAAAGAGGGTAGCAAGGGGAGGGAAATCTTTGTTTCCAGCTGCTTGTGGTGCATATGTTAAAGAATCATGGAACCTAAAGGTTTTTATATTTTCTGTAGTTATTTTGTTCATCATCAAGGATTTTTTTTTAAATTCATTTTTATTAAAATAAGGCGCCTAAAAGACTATAAGGTAAAGAGGAACTGGAAGATGAAATGGTGTGGTCCGTGGTGTCATTTTATTTATTGTATTTTTAATTCTCAATTAAACCTGTTGTGTTAATTGTGCCAACAGAAGACAATACATTCTCGCAGCAGCTATTCTGTTGGGATCCAAGACTGTGTTTTACAATTAATCTTTAGACCCAGTAGAAACTATGGGAGTTTTGTTTCTGCTTCAATTAAATGCATTTTTTAGATGATTCTGGCCAGTTGACAGTTTTTACTGCTCTTCTGCTATTTGGTTTGTCTCTCCCCCTTTTTGTAGAGTATTTGAATGAAGTGGATTTAGAAGAAAAGAAGGAATCCCAGGAAAAGGAAGCACAGGAACAGTTTGAACAAGGAAAAGAAAATGCAATGTCGGTGCTCGAGCTCCTTCAGAAGCTAGAAAAGCCTGATCAGATCAGTCTGTACTATGCTGGCGGCATACGCCTTTTATCAGAAACAATTCGACATTGTAAGTACAGCCATTCTCTTAATTTCATCTTTTTTTCCAGCAGACCATTGAAGGCAAAGTGTCGTATTCTTTTAATGAAGCTTAATGGTAAACAATAAGCTTGACATGGCCATGTTTTATAGAAGGATCTTGTGATAAACACTTATTCCCACTTATTGATATTTGCTAGTGTAGTGTGAAGTCTCAATTGGTAGACATTGGTGGAAAAGTCTTAGTAATACTCAGAAGACTTAAAGTGAAAAGATTACATTTTTAGTTTCAGGCTTTCTATTAGAGGCACAACCCATTGTGCCTAAGATCCAAACAACTTGGCGAAAAAGAGTTTCAACCATTTGACTTATATTGGGTTTTCAAGTTCACTGGTCGTACAGTTTTGTGCTTTATATTGCTTTGTAAGCACACACCATAGCAACAAACAGTTTTGATAAACCGGCAGCACTGTTTGGGTCAGGTTTTATTTTTTCCGACTGCAGAGAGGTCTGCAGAAACAACAACAACAGAAAAAAAAAATAACTGCAGACAAATCAGTTCCTTTTTTATGTCCAATGTTTGTTTCACACATTGAGTTTGACCCAGAGTGAGGGTCCTTGGGATTTCTCTGCTTTCACTGGAGACCACGTCGATTGTCAGATCCCATCAAGCAGCAGGCTGCCCAGATCTGAGGGAAGTTCATCCTTTGGCCAGACTGGGGTAAAGTCAGTCAGAGTCAGAGTCCCGTGACAGCAAAAGCAGTCTGGAGAGAAGAGCAGCCATTAAAAGAAACTCAGTGGCATATTTTTTTCCTCTTTCCCATCGTTCCCTTATTATTAGTATTTCCAGCACCTGTTGCAAAAATATTCATTGAAGACACCATGCAGGAAACCTAAATAAGATTCAATATTCAGCCCCCAACCTAAAGCACAGCAGTAGATGAATGGGAATGATCCTTTTGAGGAAATCTAGTGTGTGCACAAAATAAAAGGTGTCTAGAATAGCATTTGCACCCCTGTATAAGGTGGTATTTTGTATTCTTTTAATACAAAAGGCCATTGTGTGTCCTTTTTGGAAAAAAATGCAGAAAGCTCTAGTTATGCCTTTTTTAAATCATTGACAAATAATACTGATTGCTCTGGTAACAACACTGTGCATGTGCTGTGTGCATAACTGTCAATGTTTTTTTGATTCCTCAGAGGAGAATCAGATAGTTTATGCAAAAGGTTCTCAGGCTTAATCTAATTAAAAAGACCACTGATTGCTGTCTAAAAAAAAAACCAAGAAAAGCTACTTTATTCAGTATTTAAATTAGGAAAACCGTCTATACTGTATATTGTTTACAGATACACTTCATTAATTTTATCTGTCGTGGTCTCTTTTGACCTTGACATTAGGTATTCAGTTTCTAAAACTCACCAGGTATCTTCTGTAATGACACACCTGCCAAATGCTTGCAAAGCTGTATCACTGGGTTGACGTTATCTTGTATTTATCACAGGCACGGAGCAGACTCTTTTCCGAATAAACAATGGGTTCAGTATCATCAACGGCAATAACATTGTAAGAAGGTAAGGAGACTTGTAAGCAGAGCATGACAATCCTCTAAAAACACAACTCTGACAGTACCAGCTAAGACAGCGGAGAGGACAAAACAAAACTATCACTGCCAAAACACCTGGTGTTCTTCAAAGTCTCTTTGTGCAGGACTGCTGCCTTGCGCTCAGTAAAAAAGGAGTTACTTGTTTCATTTTTCAAAAACACACCTCTGAAAATAAGCTCCTGTGTAAGTCAGCTTTACTTTGCTAAACACTGTTCTTTTTGTTCTTTTTGGCTGAGTTGGAGCACCATAAACACAAAGATTATTTTTATTTGTGGATTGTTAAATAGTAGATGCAATTACATCTCACCTGCTGAGGTTAACCTGACATTCTATTCTCATTCATTGACATCATTCTTTACTACAGAGTTTTTAATATTTACACAAACTGCAACTCAATTTGGAGCATCAAGCTGAAGCATTTTATTTCAAAGACAAACCAGAACAAGTAGACAGTAGTCAGCAACCCTAGCCTTTTCCCAATTACAAAGTGTTGTAAACTTTTAATTGTTTCCTTATATTAAATTTGTGTGATAATAATTTTAGTGGATTATTATCACAATATGCTGGTATGTATTTACAGCAGTCAAGTTCAAATGACTAATTAAAAGTTTTTATTTGAAAAATGTAATTGGTATGATGTAGGAGGTTACTCTATAATGTCTTCTAAAGTAAACATTAGACAAAATGGCAGAAATGTTTTTGACAGTGTCTCTCAGTGGATGCTACTTTGTGAATATGGTTTCCATTCAAATTCCGATTTAATATGAGCTTGAAAAATGACCTAATAGACCCAGAGACTTTTCCTGGAAAAGGTAAATTGTCCTTAAAAATGTCACAGTTGTTTAGATAAATCTTAAATGGCCTCAGTACAGCATGCCCCTGTGTTTTCTTGTTTTGTAATCACTGTTATTGTTATAGTTCTGAAAGTGTCAGTAATCCAAAGAGTTTACTATCTGAATGAGTATATGGTATAAAAAAATACATAAAATATGTAAATATAAAATCATGGAGGAAAGGAGTTATCCATTTTACATTTGTTAATTATGTCATCACCGGTATGTGCCATCCTAGAAATAATCATTTAGTGGAACTTTTAAAAAGATTGTGACAGTCAAAGACAGTGTAATTTTTTAAAATTTCATTTCATTAATACTTCTTCTTTGAAAATAATGGCCGTCTAAAAACTGAAGTCTCAGCTAGGCTTTGCATTCTGGCTCATTGCTTCCACGATTAACTTAACACAAATAAATGGACATTTGCATCTGGGTTATTTTCAGGAGCCTTGCGATGCAATCTGCAGAGCCACATTGTGATGAATTGTGCACGTCTGTCCTCGAGCTCTGGAAGGCCGTTTGCAAAGGAAATGGTATGCAGACTAGTTTCCAATTCAGTACTTCTCAGTCTGTCTCTTTTTTTATGAAAAATGTTTGAAATATAATCTAATAAGGAGGTTACACACAATGTTGATGTTTTATGCATTTTGGGAGTCAGATGTGTACCGTTTCTAAGAGAATGGGATATCAGAAGTCTATCTTGTTAATATCATTTGCAGAAGAAAACCAGCAGCTCTTGATACACTATTCTGGCAAGCACCTGGTCAGCTTGTTACCATCACGAACCTGTAGAATACAGACAGAGTGCATGAATTTGCTTGGCCTTTATACACAGACCCAATATGGAAGGAGATTGGTTCTTCAAAATCTTGACCTGTACGAGTAAGTTTTGCAATTTTCATCACTCTGACATATTCCTTTTACTTTGCTACAGGAGTTTCATTCAGTTCTAAAGAACACTTCTGTACTGGATAATGTGATTGTAAAAATTAAATTGGCTTTTGTATACCACTAATGGTACTAGTAATCGGTAGGGATCGGCAATTTCTCTTTCTATGAAAAGTCAGATCCCCGAGAATGGGTTTGAAACAGCTTTAAAATTATGAAGAGCTCGTAATTTTCCTATTGCCTTCTGCAATAAGTCCAATACTGTAAAGAACAGAAATACACTACAACTGATCTATAACCCCTTTTAACTGTAAGATTCTAAAGGATATCAATATGGATTTAGAAAAGTTTTGATGCTTAAGTAACTAGAGTAATTGGCAGCAAATGTAATGGATACATACAGATACAATGTACTTAGATTTGAGAAAGTCTTAATAACGTTTTTTAAAAAATCAAGATTTGCGGGGTGTAGACATTAATTTTATTATAAGTACTTGGATTTAAATTTGATTAATGGAAAGGAAAAAATACAGCTAATGGGTGAATTCTCAAAACAGGATAATCTGATTAGTAAAGTACTACTGTACATACAGTAGATCTGTATCACAGATGGATGGAAAAAGACTGTATTAACACTACCGTTTTGGTAGCAATGGTCTGTGAACTAGTGAAAAAGAAAAGAATTAGTAAGCAATTGAGAACCTGCAAAAGAAATTCAAAAAGACTTAGGACTGGGCAAATCTCTGACATATGGCATTTAATGTTGATATGTGTAGAGTATTGTGCACAGGTAGTAAAAACGCCCATTATAAAAATAAGATTGGATTGTTGTGCTTGATGAGTCTACTATTGAAAAAAACTGGTAATCAACTGTACATTCTTTGGAGAAGCATGTAATGGTATTTTGTTTAAAACAAGAGATGTTACATTAAAGCTGTCCAATGCACTAGTTATATGTGTATCCAGTTTAGTCACCATATTCCAAAAAATATAGTTCACAAATAAATCAGTCTATAGAAGAGCAATCAAGTACATTTGCATATTCAGAAGAATGGCCCATCTTTGAGAACCGAACAGAGAAGGCTGTGGAGAGACCCATTTGAAGCATACTGTACCAAATCGACAGCGAAACATGAAAAAGAACACAGTTAGAAACTATAAGGAACGACATCCGAAACTGAGAACAGGAGGCACTTTTTTGCTGGAAGAGTTTCACATGAAGGGAACAAGCTCATTTGGCCATGCTGTTGAAGTACATACAGTGGCTTTCAAGAGCGATCGGAGCAGATGCTCAGATCAAAAAGCTATAAGTAACCAAATGAGCTATAGGGGCCATTCGGCCTCCTTGAAGAGGCACTTGAAAGAGTTTCTCACTGTGAAACGCATGATAAAAATGGTTCATGGGAATTTTAGCAAATGGCTGGTGCTATAGTGCAAGAATGCGGGTGGTCTTTAAAATGATCAAAGCCCGTCTTTGATGCACTGATATTTTTTAAGTTTTGATTATGAATATTTGCAAGACATATGTGTACAGCTTGGCTTTCTTGTGAGGCTTCTTTTCCCCTTGCTTAGATGTAACTATTTTTTTTTGCACAGTGCTTATCTCTATATTTCAGGATTGATAAGAAGACCAAGATTTATGCTCAGTGTACTACTGGTCTGTTACCAGTCACTGACACAGCTTGGAGGCCAAAGGGGAAACTATTTACTGGCTCAGGATTTTAAGTAACAGACATGATAAAAAATGAATCAAATGGAGTTTGATTCATTTTCAGTTTGCTTCGTGTGCATAAAAAAACTGAGTTATTAAGATGCTTCCAGAGAAATGCTTTTTTTCATTTTTGATGTAGGTTAATATAAGTCTTTTAACCCTCCTGTAAACTTTTAAGTAATGAGAATGATGGAGTGAAATTATGATTTAATGCAGTTGCTAGAAAGTGCAGGAATGTTCACAGTTCAATGAACATGTTATGAATGATGCAAATGCATCATTTCTTATTCATGTTTTTTTTTAATTCAGCCATATTCGCATATGACACAAAGTTCATTGACTTTGACAAGGTCCTTCAGATTTCACATTGCTGCTAACTGGAAACACTCTGTAATCTCATTTTACAGCTTTGGGTAGCTTGTGTTATTTTTCTTTAAAATATCTGCTCAATTCTTATCATTTTTAGGTTGGTGGAAAACCTGTTGGGGTTTATACGTGATAAAGATACCACTGCAATATGTGCCATGACTATTTTGGGCCACTTGGCAGCTGAAAATAAGTAAGTACTTTAGTACATTTGCCAAAATGTGCAAGCTGGCCATATCTACAAGAGCCTTGCACTGCATTACCAACACAGTCTTGTTTCAATTCCAGCACTTTAAAGCATAACAATATTTTTGCTTGTACTGTATGTGCTGAGTGACCAAACACAAGAGAAAAAACACATTCATCTCAGAGTCAGATTGCAATTTGCCACTATCAACATGAAGTTTCACAAACCTAAAAATTAATTCTGTCAGACAAGAAATATGGGAGACGCTCTGTTGTTCCAGATCGGAATGCCAGCTAAATAAGATACTTCTAACAGATGTATCAACTCTGTATCTTACGTTAAGAAGTAAATACAAATATTTCATATAGACAAGATGTGGAATTGAACATGAGCAATATGTAGGGAATGTCAGCATTACAAGGTGTGTAGCTTAATATCATCCTTTTATTTAGTCACTGGTGTAATACACCCACTTTTTCATATTTAAGTGTTTTCTTTCCACATTAAATTCAAGTCCTGTATGAGTTTGCTGAAGCAATAAGTTACTAACCAAAAAAAAAGCCTTAATCAAGTTGTTCTGTCCCATGGATTAGAAATTAATGGTGTTTTGAACTAAAGTTTGAGTGGGATGACAGCAACAAAGTTCTCTTTCACCACTGTTACTCTCACACTTAATCCTCCTTGACATCACTTCCTAAAAAGTTATAAATATCACAGTAAAGACACGCTCTTCCTTGCATTTGTCTGTCTGAGAAATGAATTTGTCATAAAAAAAATATTCTTAAATTACAGGAGGTAGGCGTTCAGGGAAACACGAGTATATGAATTGAGAATTGATTAATAAAAAGGAAAAAGAGTGTGCTCTTAAGAGCTCAGAGCTCTAACTGGGGTGATGTAATTAATGGAGTACCACAGGTATCTGTAGGTCCATTGCTCTTTGAAATTTATGTCAAAGATCTAGATTATGCAGCTGGGGTTAAGGGCCTCGCTCAGGAGCCCAACAGAGTAGGAATCCTCTACCAGCCGCGGGATTTGAGCAGGTAGCCTTCCAGCCACAGGCGCAGATCCTTAGCCACAGAGCCACCGCTCCGCCCACTTTAATCCTCTTTTCAGATTCCTCTCTAGAATTGAGGAACTCTATATCAATACATATCATCATCGCTGCACTTCGTGTGATTTGTGTGAAAAATCAGTCCTCACTCACATTATAAATAAAGGTTACTTGAAATCTCCACATATGAAGACCCAGTTCACAATCTGTGCTGCTCATATTTCTAGTTACTCAAACCAAGTTGCCAACTCATTGTATTATTTACTGTATTACACTGTATTGTATTTTTCTTAAATCTTAATTCTTAGTTTTGATTTGTGTTCCCACTGGGTTCTTTTGGGAGTTTTAATTTCCTCATCCTAGGGCTAGGTTGTTAACTCTGTCAGGTGGGTTAAACCAAAACTTGTCTCATGTCTAATTTCTCAATAAACATTCCTAAACCTTTCTTATTGGGTTTTATTATTCTTTGTTAAAAGAAACTGCTGTAACTCTAAAACAGCACAGTTAACTCCACTGTAGCAAGAACAAGCCACAACAATTTTATATTGTTTTTAGTATTTGCTGCAGATAACAGTTCCTCATTCTGTCTCATTTCAGAAGTCCACATTGTCCACTAGGAGTCAAACAACTAATTAGGCTTGGCTATAGATTAATTGCCAGTTCTATTATTTTAATTCTCTTGAGGATATGAAAAAAAGCTGTCCTTTACTTGAATTTGTTATAATTATGCTGGTTAATTAGAAGTTAATATATTAGATTTGTCATACTTTCACCTTCTAATCATTTTCATTACAATTACATACAGTAAACACTGGGTCTGTCGATGTATTATAAGAATGTACAGTGCCCCAAAGATTTAAAGTGGTAATCCAGTAAAGTGCATGTAAAAAGTATTTAGATATGACAAATTTATTGGAAAACTTGTAATATAAAATTGATTTGCTTTGAGATGACTGATGAGGAGTTGCTGGTAGGGATTAATATTATTATATGACAGACAAAGCCATCATTGTTAGTTTTATCCTGCTAATGAATGCATTAAGTGTAACAGAGTTCAATCACACAGATATTCCTCTGCATTGTTCTTCTGGGAATAGCACAATAAACCAGTTTGGCTGTAGTGTACTTATATAAATCTTTATGGTGCACTTTTGCTTATGATATGATACTGTTCTAATTTTATGAATGCATTTCAATTGATTTGATTAAAACTGAATGTATATGCAAATATGTTTTCTCCTGTGTTATTCTCTCCTGTAAGATTTAGAGTTCTTTTCAGAGAAAACTTCACTACAATGTTCGTGCCTCCATTTGCAGACTTGCTGGTAAGATTTTTTGTGTCAGACTCAAATAAACAGAGGGTGTTTAATATTATGACCTTCAAGTCAAGTCAAGTTTATTGTCATTATACTCATATACAGGTATATGGTATAATGAAATGCTATTTAGCTAGCCATCAGACAATAAGTAGTACAAAAAAACAATACAATTATATAATAAAAGAAAGACAGAGACAACAGGCAGTGTGCAAAACAACAACAGGCAATGTGCAAAACAACATCAGATGTGCAAAAACATACATCAACAGAATGAAATAAAGGATAGAAAATTATGGGGAGTGAGGTTTTTGACATGTGAGGTAGAGGTAGATTTCAATGTGTGTTTGAGGTTTTGGTAAGAAAGAAGGCACTGTGAGGTTCAGGTCGTAGGTGAGAGAGACTGGGAGTTTAATAGTTTGATAGTGCGGGGGTAAAAACTGTCTCTGAGTCTGGTAGTCTGGGCCCGAATGCTCCGATGGTAGAGGGTCATACAGTCTGTACCTGGGGTGTGTGGGGTCTTTGATGATGCTTTCCTCAAGACCTTGCTTGGTTAAGTGGACATTGTTCTGTTCCCTTTTTATATTTAAGTTTATTAGTATCTTAATTGCAATTTCACGTTTTAATTTTTTAAATTAATACTCCTGTAATGCGATTGAAAACTTGCTTTTAATTAGAAATGTGATTACTTACACTGAATGTACAGAAACAAATCTTGTTCCCAATTAAATCATATTGTATTTGAACAAACTGTCCTGACCCAGAGACCTACAGTACGTTATGCTTTCTGCTCTTTTCTGCCTGCAGCAAAATATCTCCTCAGTGGACGAGACGATGCTTCCACTGTGCATTTCAATGATGAACAGTATGACAGAAGATAATGTCATTCGAGGAAAGATAGCCAGCTGCCAGGAATTCTGGGATGTCTGTCTCATCACCATGGTAAAAAGTCCACTAAAAATACACAATGGGAGTGTGTCTGGAATGCTGGTTCTCCTGTGTGGTTTGCTTAACAGAAACAATGTTACATGACAGTACATCACATGTAAAGCCTCCTGTGTAAAACCATCATCATAAATATGTTTTTTTTTTTCCTTCAGGATGATTGTGCACTCTGTTCCCCTGACAAATCCTCTAAGCACTGCGATCTGTTATTTGCATTGCTTGGGTTTATGATGAACCTCTCCATGGAAATCACTCTGGCAGTTGAAGTAAGATAATGTCCCGCATTGTCTGGTTTGCTACCTTGTATTTGACTCACTGAATTGTGTGATACAGATCGGTCCTTAAGCTAGTTATATTCCATTTTTGCTCACTTAATAAGCCGAGGTTAAGAGTGACATCCTAGATTCTCCTCAAGTTGGCTTTCTCCATTTACAAAATTTTCTTGTAATATCAAAGGTGTCTTTTGAAGGTGGGTTTCAATAATGCTATCTTATTTTCCCCACTGTTCAATTCCTTTCAATTTAAAAAATGTCAATTTTAAATTTCAGGAAAAAGCGGTTCACATCACTGCCAGATGTTTAACACAGCTATGCGGTTCAGATGGGGGGATTATCACAGTGAGTAGAATAAAATGTTGACAGAAATGGTTTATCTGTTACAGTAGGTATTATTAGGTAAAACTGGTCAAACCTTGGGTTTTGTTTCCAAAAACTAGCAGCAGGTGTTCTCTTCTTTGTAGGTGTCCACTTCACTGCCACAAGTGCTCCTGCAACATTCCAAGATCCGAAATGAAATGTATTTTATTGCCAAGTCTGAATACACAAAGATTAAATGAACTCCATCCATCCATCTATTTTCTAACCTCTTGATCTGATTGAGGGTTGTGGGGGAGTCCATCCCTGAAAAGACACACACTCCCAGCAGGACTAAACTAACACCCTTGAGGGAATTCAGTTAATCTTTAATTCCACCATTCTGTTTGAACTTTCTGTCTATATATTACCGTGATGAGTTTTACAAATGGAGGCAAAGTTTAATTTACCGTACATCTGTTTGTTCAAAATAAAGTCATTTTTGTTCACTGAAACAGAGACAATATTCACCGTACCATACTCCAAGAAACAAACGCAATCAGTATTTTTCACTGTCAATGTTTTGCTGAAACTTGTGAGAGCAATACATCATGGTTTTTACACCAAACAGCCGACGTGCGGGTGCTGTTTTTATTTTCTGTCACTGTTTCAATGTCTGTCCTGGAACGACTTGATTTGTTTGGTGTCTGTCTACATTTCATATTTTCACACTTCAGTTTCCTATTTTCGTCTAATAGAGAACAATGGGCCTTCTGAGTCACATTCTCCCACACTCCCCTGCTGCTGCAGAAGAGGCTGTTCAGAAAGGAATTGTGAAGAAAATATTCCGACTTGTTAAGGTACTATCGATAAGGTCTCTGATAAAATAATTTATAAAGATGTTTTTCTGTGTTTTTTGCTTATTCTCCATATAAGAATACGTTTAACTGTTTGAAGAGGGAGTAGTTCCCAACCCTGGTCCTGGAGGCATGTTAGTTTTCAATCCAGCTCATCTCTAAACCTCCAGCACTAACTGCTGACTTAAACAACTGTTTGGACTTTTATTTAACTTGTCTGTTTGGTCAGTCCTGAGTGTGAAAAATACTGTTTGCAACTTCAGCAACTTTGTTCTCAACATTCTCGCCATTATTTCTGACAAAACAACACTTTATTATGATGAACAGACACGGGTGGCAATGGCGATGTGTCAGAGGCTCTTACAACAAATGTTTTTTTCTTCCCTATGAAGAAATCCATTCTGTACCCCTGAATGAGGGCAGTTCTGAAAAACTGGTACAAGGTAGATACCAATTACAAACTCCATTTCACTTTTTAAGAGAAGGGAAATGTACAAATATGACCCAAATATAAAACTGAAGTGGTCCTCATGGACCATCTGGGAACCACTGAAATAGTGTGGCACAGATTTTCTTATTTACAAATTCATTAGAAATATAAGAACAGCATCAGGTTTGAAAGGTAAGGCACCTATACACGCTAATATGTTCACCAGTATCTTATTTATCTGAGGATCTAGCTGATTTTATATTGACATTTATATAGTTACTTGTCTATATATATAACACTATAGAACACTTCTAAATTCAGGTTAGAATACTGTGTCAGTTTCACCTCACATTGCTGAAGCTTTCTCGCATTTTTGTTAACCTCAAATGTTCTTATTTTTGTATCCACCTGTTTCTTTGTATAATTTTATTTCAGGCTGGAGGGAAGATTACTACTCATTTTTCAGTCAGGACACTCTCAGCCTGTACCAAAGTCAGTCAACAAGCTCGGGAGGAGATAGTGAGAGTTGATAAGAGTAAGCTGGGAGTTTGCACCTCTTTCTTTGACTGTTGTTCAAAATGGCTTTTCATTGACATTGGAGACTTGATGGATGATTCCTGGCAGTGTCTCCAAATAAAGAGACTGTTTATTGAATCACTTCACTTAATACAGAATTTGTAATGGAAAAAAAAAATGTTTAGTTTGTTTTACTACCATATGTTGCATTGTATTTCATAGTCATTATAAAATCAATTTGGAAAATTTTATAAATTGCTAGTTACTGTACACCAGCCGTATTAATTCAAAGCAAAAAAAAAATCGAACATTGGAAATTTAATGCATTGAGCTTGTTATTGCATGTTGTTGCATGGATCAAAGAATCCATGCAAAAATTAAACATTTCCTAAAAATTCCCCAAAATAATTCTGTATCATGCACGGTACTGAAGAACTGAAGTTACACCATTTTTATGGTCATATTCTCATTTTCTTTTTTGGCGGGGGAATATGGACACTTGCAGGTAGATTGTATGGACTGAAGTCTGTATCACCACAAAGTTCTTTTGTATGTACAGTATATCAGCATATAGCATGTGTATGTGGTGAGATCAACAACTCCTGCATCAGAGTCAAAATTAGTTTCTCAGCCACCTTCCAGGTCCAAACTATAAAGTGCCTCCTTAGACAGTGATGGGTTTCGCTATTTTAAAAATACAGAATTTAAGGCTGTCAAATTCAGTTGATTTGCATGAATGTGCAATAAATGTATTTGACAGTGGTCTTTACTTTCAAAGTGAATGCTTCATGTATTCAACTTGTATTTTAAAGAGTTACTGTAGATACCCTGATTGTGAAGTCACACAGTCTTCTTCCCCTTAGAGCTTGAAATCTGTTTTTGAAAGAAAAAGCAATTTTACCCTAATCTTATTTTACTTGCAACCATTAACAACATTGGTGGAATATGTTGCCAGCGGACTTTATAGTTGCATTTCCAAAAGGGATTTGGTAGCATGTTTGTTCTACACCAGATTTGGCAAGAGTCTCTTTTGTAGTTCCAAGTCTTTGATTCTATGTACACTATGATCATATTACCCCAGATTCTCATACATCTCTCTTATTTCAAGAATCCAAAGCCAAATCAGATACTACAGCTTCTGGTCCACTGTAAATATGCTGCCTCAGATAATGCACAACCAGTCCTCTATTGAAATCAGTTTCTTGCTTTGCTTCACAGTAACATTGCAAGTGTCCACTCCTTCTCAGTGATTTGCTTTATCTCTCGTTCTGCAGAATTCTCCTCCTTGATGAAACTCCTGAGTATGGATGAGGAGCTGGTTGTTGGAAATGCGGCACTGTGCTTGGGTCACTGCCTGGAGGTCCCAGGAGCTGCTTCCTCTCTCCTGGGCTCCAACATAGTGAAAATTCTACTGAAGCACGCTGGAGGGGATGCCAGCAAAACAGCAGTTCAACAGAACTGTGCCGTAGCTCTAGGCAAGCTCTGCACAGCAGAACCAAGGCATGTTTAAACTATTTAATCTTTAACATTGTTGTCTTTCAGTCCTAAAATTTAGGATTGCATATTGTGACAGTCCTCTGGGTGTGCCGTAAGAGGATCTTTAAAGTAGGTGGGTCTAGGACTCACCCAAATGCAGAACCTTGAAGTTAAAAACATATAGTCCTCTTTGTTTTACAGTGCAGGAAAACAAACTTACTACTAAGCTCCTTTTTGAGCTTCTGACGGATGTCCTCAGTTCCTAACTATTGTAGCTGAAAAGCTAACCTGCTTACCGGCTTCAAAGCACGACACTTTTCAACTCAGTCTCCCCTGTGACTTCTTAAAAACTTTCAAACTCAGGTTTTCAGAAACTCAACGTTCCTCGGGTCCACAGTTCAGTGGTCAGTTCTTCTCCCTCTGGTGAATAGAGCACACAGAGAATCTGCCTTCTGTACAACAGATATTACTAACTGACCAAAAAATCCTCTGTTTCCTGCTATTTAAACACTCACCTGTGTCATCTCACAACTGGTCATGTGACCAAAGGTTTCTGGGGAATGTGGTCCAGAACAGGCTACCATCTTGTTTTAAATTGGTATACCCATTCAAATATGGATTCTCTCTTGATAGTTTTTAAATAAAAACTCAAAATCACAGACAGCTCTCTTTTTGAAGAGAAACAAACTCTGCATATTTATTTTGTCTTTATTATTTTATTTTACAGGCACATGGTCCAACTCAGAGAACTTCATGGCTTGGAAATCCTCAATTCCTGTATGAAGTTTGTCACATGAGGATGTGATTTCTGTTACGGTTCCATAAATGTTTCAGTATTTTCAATTTTTAAAATATCATTACCTTCTTCATCTGAATACTGTAATATCTGCTGCTTCATTTTCCAGGCGTTTTTCAGTGTTCAGTACTCAGCTTTGTTATTTTTATAATGTATAGGTCTTTTAAAGTTCATCGTGTTATAATGTGTTTGCCCTGTTATTTGGTTGGGTAATTGGCGATCATTCGCCCTGTGAAACAAGTTGTGCCTTTATGCACTGATTTGTATTTTTGTTATTTGTGTACTTTGGAAACAGGTCTGTTTTGTGCCTATGGCTATGAGAACTTTGTTTAATAAATATTAAAAGATGAATAAATGAATGAAAAAGCATAAAGAATGTGAACTTCAATTAAATTCTTTAAGATTGTTCTTCCAAGGTGCATTTTTAACTATTAAACCAAACTTTCAATAGAATTCCATTTGTTTTGTATGACTACTGCTATAAGTGCTCTATCAACTTTAGACATTTATTTTCCCCATTGTTTTTGAGTTCTGATATCTTATGGAGAAACATTTACAGTGCCATTAGAAAAATGAAATGCAGGCAGCAAACACCATTTTCTGATTAATTTAGAAAAACTGAATTAATTTTGAAATTCCAAATACTACTGTCCTGCTTTGCAATACTACAATAGTTGTTATAGTTACTGTAAGTATAGATAATTCAACATGTCAAATGTTTGAAAACCTAATTGTATTTCTTCCCAATCATAGCAGTCTGATGTAAAAAGACCTTATTACTAGATGTATGATACAAGGCTGTATTTTGGGTCTTCATTTGGGTTTATACCTGGATAAGAATTAGTTCTTTGTACTAACACAGACTCCAGTTCTGATGGCTAACATCTCTAAGATTTCTTATGTTTTAAAAATATCTACATTGGTGACCTTCAATATACTGTATACATAAGCATGTATCTTCAAAACATTTTACAAAAGTTAAGACAAACTGTAAAAATGCAAACAAAGTGAGGCTAATGCTTAAACAGGTATTTGCTTGTAAATGTTTTATACTTTAACATGTAACTTTATACATGTAGCTTATCCACTTCTGATGTATAAAAATTGGAGTAATAGTGTCACAAGCAAGAGTCCTTGTATGTACTGCTGAGAAATTTAAATTTGTTTTATAATACTTTTCAGGAACTGGGCTGTTCAACATGCACATTAATAACCCTTCAGAAAGGATGTATGTACTGTAAGAAACCCACTGTAATATGTTGAATAGGGAGTTCAGTTTTCCCAATGAAGTGAATTTTGACAAGAAAATCTTCATTGCAGTATCTTATCTCTCTCTTCATTGCACAATCGTATGCAATTAAGTCTTAATCTCTGCATTGATTCAGGTAATGCTGAATATTGCCATAAATAACATAACTTTTTGGAGGACAAACTACATGTGTAGATTTATTTTAAAAAATGAACATACTGAAGTAGTGGGTAGCACTGTGGTGTAGTGGTCAGCATTTCTGCCTTGCAGTATTGGGGCAGTGGGTTCAATTCTAGATGTGGGGTGCTATCTGTGTGGAGTTTGTTTGTTCTCCCTGTGTTCACATGCATGGTCTTAGGAAGCTTGGTCATGTAAAAAAGGGAGAAATGGAAGCGATTCAGTATTTTTCCTCTGGCATGGTATTAAGATATTTTCTAATTTGCTGCTTGTCCTGTTCATATAAGGTTAAGGAAATGTAGATGTGAAATATGAAACGAAACATTGTTTATAATGTTTATTATTCTTTCCAGGATAAAAATAGCATCAAATTGATAACAACATGTTTTTTAAAAGAGATGTTTCTGGCCTGTCCTTTTTCACTGGCAGAGATGCAATATTATGTAGGATCAAATATGCATTAGGACATCTTATACAGAGTTTGTGCCATTGGTCTGGTTCTGCCTATTAGGGTATGTGTCTTTGAAACTCAGGAAAGAGGACTGGCATGGAAAAGGAGAAAATTTAATGGGGTTTACATCCACATTTATATCAATTGCATTATTCTCACTGACAGGCTTGCTTTACCCCATTAGTTTGTAAATGCATTTCTTTCATACCGAGAAAAGCGAAAATTAATTTTAAAAGGGTTATCAAAGCAATTCTGCCTTACTGACACTAACAAGGGAGTGACATTTTGTCTTCACGCTTAATCAGTGTGTACTAAATTTACAGATTCAGAAAATTACAACATCACAAGATTTTTTCTGTGCCCAGGGAATTTCCAACCGTTTGCTCATTAAGACCTATGTTGTCATTTCTACCAGGATCCAATCTTGGTTCCCCAGATATAAAAATGTGCTATTAAGAAAGCCAATTCAATCAATCACAGTGACAATTAAACCATACCGAGCAACTTATATGTTGAAATTAACTCCTCTCAAACCCATCATAGACTAGTGTCATGTTCGCTGAAGTGTCATTTAAGACATGCTGACGAACATACTGAACTATGAAATTGTCCTTTTTGCTTTTGACCAAGATTTTAAATTTAGCTCGTATCGTATCTCCTAGAAATGCAAATAGACTCTGCAGTAAGCTTACTGGGCTCCTGGGATCTTTTGACAAACAGCCTTGAAACTGGCTGAATCTCTAGAATAGTACCCCAGAGCAATGTAATTGAACTGAGTTGTCAGCAAATGCCCGAATTCTTTTTCACATAGGTGCTTAATGTCAGGTTTTACAATTGGAATACGGTGGGAGGTTACTGATGGCGAGATAAATGCACACTTGCTTTTTAGAGTTTAGTATTGAAAAAACTGTGTTCTGATTGATTTTACCATCCTACAAAATGAATGCATGAAATAAGAGAAAGAATATAATCTTTAGTTATGACCCAGCATTGCTGAATAGAACATTCAACCCTTTTTTTTCCTTTGGCATCTAGGAGTCCCAGCTCAATCTCATTTTATTGTAGGAGAAATCCAATCTGTGTATAAAACAGGCTTCACGTAGATAAATCCTTCATTGTGAAGAGACTCTCTATACATAACTCATCAAGCCTTGCTCTCAAATGCTCAGATCACCCCATGTTGTACAGGATTTCAGAATTTGATGCTTTGATGCTTAGAAATGAAATATCCCTTGTACTTAATATTTTTTGTGGTTCGAATAACAGGTAAGAACTTTTTAAAATCTTTTAAATCTCAAATCTAAGTATGAATTAAAAGCAAGCATGGACATGTTCATAGTATGTAAATGTTTAGGTTCCTAGAGCCTATGTAAAATATCAGATGTGAATAGAATATGCAATGTGAGATTTAAAGTTTGTTCTGTTGAAATATAAAGCTATAAAGCTATAAAGCTCATTCAGCTTGCACTGTTTACATATGTTTCAATTCTGACCCTGGGTACCAACACGCATGCTGTTTTTTGTTCTCATTACATTATTAAACCCTCAATTGACCAAATAATACGATTAATTTTTCAATTACTAAGCATGTGAGAGGCAACTTTTCAAGTTTTAACAAGTTTAACAAGTAACTGAATGTCTACATCTTCTGAGCAGAATTTTTTTTTGTAAATTAATAAACGTGTTAACTCAGCTACTGACTCAATTAGGTAAATAACTAGGCTGGAATAAAACACAGCAGGTGTGTGAATCCCTGGGGTGGAAACTTCAAGAGCAATAAATGCACCCTGGGTCAGCATAAAGTACCCCCTCAGAAAGCAGTTTAAGACAGTCCAGAGGCTGATTGTTTTGAAAAAGAATAATATTGTATTATTATTATATTTTCAGATAGATTTCAGAATGCAGTGGGAATAATACACAGCTTGTATTTATTACCGTGTTGTTCCTAAATGTTTTTTAAAAGTTTCTTTAAAAAAAAAAACACTGGAAAAAAAGCTAACCACACTGCTTGTGCTTAAACAAAAAGGTAGTAGCTAGTTCTAGAGATGGGACTCAGGACATGCATTGGGAAATAAAGGCAATAAAGGCAGGGGCAGGTAAAGAAAGCCTGCATTGATCCCAAGCTCAGCAGCAGACAGCTTGTCTGCAATGCCTAAGTGGTTACCTGAAATGCTGAGTGTAATGAGCATGCCTAGCTTATAAGCACAGACTGGAGCAGGGAAACTGACCTCTCCTGAGAGTCAGTTTAGTCCTTTGAAAGGGAGTTGAGAGCTCTGTGGTGGACAGGGATGTCTGAATCAGTGGGGAAGCTAGAAAAGTCCTCAGGGCACTGAGGTGGTTTATCTGAAGGACAAAGTGGGGCTGTGCTCAGTGGAAGTAAAGTTTCTCTATTATCTATAGTGGTAGTAAATAACAGTAGCAGCAGATGCACAGTCTTTGTAAACTGTTGTTGAATGACAATGGGAAAGAGGATATGAGGACACTAACTTTAAATCGCTCTGGGGTTTATGTGCAAAGAATCCCAGAACCCCACTGTGATATTGGAGGATCTAATTCAATAAATGACAATGAAACAGAGTGACAGGTACCAGCAACACCAAGCAACAATTTTAATTTTCTATAACAGTCTGTAGTCTTTAAATTCAGTTCATCAAGATTTACATTTCTGAGTAGAAATGCGCTTAAATAAATAATTGCAATCACTAAAGAAAAATGGAGCATAATAGCAACATTACTTTTTCCCTCTGATTCACCTACTCATTTGACTCTTCACTACTTCATTGAGGTGTACTCTTTATCCTGATGCCACAATGCCTTTGTTGCCTTCAAGATTCAAAACCACATACTAACACGTCTAGAAAAGTGTTACCTCTGAATACAGATGCTTTTCATGAACAACAAAGGAAACATGAACAGTAACAGGTCACCAGAGACAAATCAGTATTGAGATTCTGAAATTATAGTGTTTATCTTTGAAGCAATTTATTGAAGATCAATGAATTTAACAAATCAAAAGAAAGTCCCTAGTATGCTTGCAACAGAAAAAGAAGGACAAAATTTTCAACTACTCAGACAGATTGTTGAACTTCAACTTCTTCATCATATGAATGAAAAGGTTTCTCACCAATGCAGACAAATTGCTCTGAAGCAGACAAACGGCAGACAAGCTGTTCAGATCATTACTCAGAGTGTGTCTGCTGTAAATCATTTTTTAAACTTTTATTTTGATTTCTTCTAGTTATTATGATGGCTGAGTATGATGGTGTGTGGAAGCAGCTGAGCCCGTCTACAGAAGCCATTCACTCCAGGTTGATGAAGGCAGCAGAGGAGCAAAATGAGACACATCACGACAACACACCGACAGCAGAGCTATTGCTGCACAATCAGACGTCTGATCACAAGGCTATGGCTGCAACTCCGTCTTTGGGGATAGATGCGTTTCGTACCCGTGATGAAAGCACCGCCCACAACAAGGCGAAAGTCACGATTGCGGTCA